CTCAGCCATAAAGAAGAATGAAATTATGGCATTTACAGGTAAATGGACTGAGCTAGAGAACATCATGCTAAGTGAATTAAGCCAATTCCAAAAACCAAAGGCCAAATGTTTACTCTGATAAGTGGATACTGATCCATAATGGGGGTGGGGGGCAAGGGAAGAATGGAGGAACTTTGGATTGAGCAGAAAGAAGAGAGGAGAGGGGAGGAAGTGTGTGTGTGTGCAGGGGAGATGGTGGGATGAAGCAGACATTATTATCCTATGTATGGGTATGACTGCATGAATGGTGTGACTCTACATCATATTCAACCAGAAAAATGAAAAGTTATGCTCCATTTGTGTAAAAATAAAATTAATTAATAAAAAAGGGATATCCTGCCCAAATTCTCTCCAATAATTATTTGCTGCAGTGTCTCCTTCTGTTAAGCTATTGTTTTCATAAAACCAGATTTAAATATTAGTTATGTTACCATCAATGAACATTCCCTTGAACACAGGTTATTTTTTGACCAGTTTCTTTTTCTTTCTTTCTTTCTTTTTCTGGTACCAGGGATTGAACTCAGGGGCACTCAACCACTGAGTCACATCCCCAACTCTATTTTGTATTTTATTTAGAGTCAGGGTCTCACTGAGTTGCTTATCGCCTTGCTTTTGCTGAGGCTGGCTCTGAACTTGCAATCCTTCTGCCTCAGCCTCCAGAGCTGCTAGGACTATAGGCATGAGCCACGGCACCTGGCTTATTTTGACCAGTTTCAATAAGCAAAATCCTTAACCAATAGCTTAAATATTGTGATTTTTGGTCCATTTTGATCAGGGGAAGAAATACTTAAAAGGACCAAGGCCAGCTGGATGCAGTGGTACAGGCCTATAATTCCAGCTACTTGGGGTGCTGAGGAAGAAGAATTGCAAATTTGAGACTAACCTGGATAACTTGATAAGACCCTGTCTCAAAATTAAAAAATAAATAAATAAATAAAAAGATCTGGTGATGCAGTGCAATGGTAGAATGATTGCATAGCATGTATAAGGCTCTAACCCAGCACCACAAAAAAGTGGGTGGGGTGGGGTGGGCAAGGCCTGGAAGATACTCTGGAAAACCAGAACCAGTCTGAAAGCACTGGAAATCTCGAAGGCATACCAAAATAAGGCAGCACCTAACACTAATGAGGACTGAACTATCAGGACAAAGCATATCATAATTCTGTATTCTGAAAATAAGTCATTTAAGTATATAACACTTGAGTATGCTAGGTACCATATTAAGAACTTTAAATTTTTATTCAATAATCTTATAATGAAAAATACTATCATGTCTATTTTAAGTATAGTTAAGTCTACATAGAAAAATAAGTCTGGGTTCCTTACTTTATACCATATCTTTTAGGAGTTAAAGATCTCCTTGTGCAGGGCCGGGGGTGGCTTAGCTGTAGAGCGCTCACCTGGCATGTGCGAGGCCCTGGGTTCGATCCTCAGTATCACATATAAATAAATAAAATAAATGTATTGTGTCCAACTACAACTAAAAAATAAATATTAAAGGGGGTTGGGGGGTTATGGCTCAGCGGTAGAGCACTCGCCTGGCACGTGCAAGGCCCTGGGTTCAATCCTCAGCACCACATAAAAATAAATAAATAAATAAAAAGTTATTTAAAAAAATCTCCTTGTGAAAGTACAACTCTAAAATAGAGAAGAAAATGTAGAATATTATTATGACTTTGGGACAGGATAGGGCTTTTTAAATAAGATGCACAAAACACAAATAATAAACCAAGAAATTAATAAATTTGACTGTATCAAACTAAAGATCCTACTCAACAAAGGACCTCATAAATAAAATTAACAGATGTATAATAGCCTGTGAAAAATCCTTTGCAACATTTTTTTTTCCCTGCTACTGAGGATCAAACCCAGGGAATCTGTGCAAGCTAGGCAAGTGCTCCACCACTAAGCTAAATTGCAGCCCTTTTCTATAAACTTTGAGGCAGAGTCTGGGTAAGTTGCCCAGGCTGGCCTCAAACTTGTGACACTCCTGCATCAGCCTGCTGAATAGATCTGCAACATCTTAAATGGGCAAGAGATTGATATCTGGAACATGGGTTCTTTTGTGGATTTATAAAATATAACAAATACTTTAGGCTTTGTGGGCTATACAGTCTCTGCTGCAATTGCTCAACTCAGCCATTGTAGAAAAAAAGCAGTCAGACAATATGTAAATGAATGAATGTGGCTGTGTTCCAATAAAATTTTATTTACAAAAATCCATAGTAATCAGGATTTGGCTTACAAGCTGTAGTCTGTTGACCAATGATTTAGAATATATAAGGAATTCCTATGGATCAATAAGAGAAATTAGGACACCCAGTGGAAAGCTGGGCAATGGATATTAATGAGCAACTGGCAGAATGAAAAATCGAAATGGACAAATAAGTATATGGGTGTGCAACTTTAAGAATAATCTAGGAAGCCAGGCACAGTGTTGCACACCTGTAATCCCAGCAGCTGGGAAGGGAGGCAGAGGCAGGAAGATAGCAAATGCAAAGCCAACCTCAGCAAAATCGAGGTGCTAAGCAACTCATCGAGACCCTGCTCTAAATAAAAAATAGGGCTGGGGATTTGGCTCAGTGTTTGGGTGCCCCTGAGTTCAATCCCTGGTACCTGCCCCGCCATGAAAAAGGAATAATTTAAGAAACATAAATTGCTTAGAATTGTCAATTTATATCCAATAGATTTGTCAAAACCTGGAAGTCATATAATTTAGTAGGAGATAAGGGTATAGGAAAACATAGAAACCTCATGCTTTGTCCCTAAAAATGTCAATTATAAAAAAGCCATTATAGAGTACAATCTGGCAGTGCTAAAAAAATTGTTTCCACACTGCAATAAAGGGGAGCACTTTGATAAAGGGTAGCAGGCAGACTTATAGCATCACACATACATTGTTGTAACTAAAGAAAATATACACAATCTTCTTCTAACTTCACTACAGATGGACCAAAGTACCATCATAGATAACAGTAATATATAGATCAGCTGCTATAAATTACTTTACATCAATAGGTTTTAGAAGGGTGAAAATCTTAATATTCTTGCAATCTAAACCTTTTATAGTATAGCATTTCATATCTTTAAGAGGAGAGCTGGCTTTATGATAGCTGATTAATGGAATGCAAAATCCACTTGAATTTAAGATAAAGTGAGACTTCAGTTTTATACTGTGGAGGGTCAATTACAGAATTATATTCTTAGATCCTTCTGGGTTTTCCCTCTATTACAATGTAACACATCAATAGAAAAGTTTGAGAGGTATTCAGTTAATAAGACAGGACAATTATTGATTATCTGTTAATAGCTAAATAAACTTATTAAGGATTCCCCCCTTTAGTGGGAAATTGAAATATACAATATTATTAATTGTTTTGTAATTAGAATTACAACTTCCTTTAGACATTTTTCTCTACCTCCACTCTGAGTGTAACCTATTGTAGCACTAGATTCCGAAATAGTTTTTCCTTTCATTGAATTCATCTGACATGGCCTGATAAAATATACAATGGATTATTCAAATTAGTGTTTCCTAAATAGTAAGAGGAGTTCAGAAGTGTACTGATTAAAAAGGCTTTTCCCAAAGAAAGTGTATCTGCATACTTTGCCTTTACTTCAACTTTATTCTGGCGCTAAAAACCACCCCAGGTTAATATAGTTGTGAAATAATTGAATGTAATTGTTTTCCTCCCAGTCTTATCACAGGTACAAGTATTCAGTTAGACTAAAGTAAAGTATATAGTCAGGTTTTTGTTGCGGTGACCAAAATAGTTGAAAAGAATAACTTAAAGGAGAAAACAAAATTTAGCTCACAGTTCCAGAAGTTCAGTTCATGGTTGGTCAGTTCCATTGCTGTGGAAGATGAGACAGAGCATCATGGTTGAAGGGTGTGGTGAAGGAAAGCTGCTCAGCTCACAGTAGCCAGAAAGCAGAGAAAGAAGAAAAGAGGAGCCAGGGGAAAACAATATAATCCCTATGGGCATGCCCCTAGCAACCCACCTCCTTCAGCCATGCCCCACCTACCTACAGTTACCACCCAGTTAGTTTATTCAAACTAGGGGGTCACAGCTCTCACAATCTAATCATTACAACTCTGAAGATTCTTTCATTAACGTAAGTTTTGGGGGAGATATCTCATATCCAAACCATAACACACATATATGCTTTTGTTTGATAAGACACTAAAAGAAAAATGATTCTACATTGAATCACACACTTTCAAATGGGTGGATTTTATAGTATTTATCTTAATAAAGATGTTTTTGTTTATATTTTTTAGTTGCTGATAGATCTTTATTTTTTTAATACTTGGTGCTGAGAATCGAACCCAGTGCCTCACAAATACCAGGCACGTTCGCTACAGCCCCAGCCCCTCAATAAAGGTGTTTTTAAAAAAGTGGTTTAGCTAATCAGTCACTTAGTCTTGTGGCTCTTAACTGTAGTGTAACATGATCAGAGGTGAGGAGTGAATGAGGCTAGCTAATCAGGAACTGGGCTAAATTCCCAGCTGAGAGAACACCACACACACATACACACACACACACAGGGAGAGGGGAGGAAGGCAGGGATGGGGGAAGGTTGGCCCTAGGAACAAGGGAGGAAGCAGGGGGGCAAAAGGTCAAGAAGAAACCAAATGTTACAGTTAAAATGCTTTTTTTCAGGAATTCCCCAAAACACAGATGAACTTACAGGAGAATTCTGTCCACACTAAGGAAACATGATAGTCCTTTTTCTTCATCCATAAACCAGCCATTTCCAAGATAATAGTGAACACAGGAATCTTGTTTAAAAGATTTCTTTTCAAGGCCTGCAACAACTTTTATATGAATAAAAACTGAAGGCTGCTTTTAGATCAGGAATTTTTAAATGATTAAGATCTTACTCTATGTAAGCAGAACAATTTTGACAGAACAGAGTACAATTTTTTAAAAAAGACAACACATAGATTATGACAAACATAAAATGCTGATAAACATTTATTTTTTTATTGCTAAACACCAAACACTGGCAATTATGATACCTTCAAGTTAAAGCTTAAGAATGAATTACAGCACGGTCAAAAGATCTACAGAAAAAAAAATACCTGTGTACCATCAGTATGTGGACATTCAATAAATACCATAGGACAAAATGATGGCTGAAAATCACATAACCATGAAGCACACATTTACAATTTGCTATTAGAACAGACAAAGACCTAGCAGAGTTATTATATTATTAAAAGGTCAGGTTTAACTGCGTGTCTTTTCAAACTGAGATGCTGAAAAATATATATACATTCTCTACAGAGTGTAGGTGATTAAAAAAAACTTTCAAAAATGTAAACAACGCAGAGTAGGAACACTGAGAATAAAAATTTAACTGTTGAACAAAGTGACAACACAGAACACTTTCTTCAAATCCTCAAAATAATTAATTTTTTCTAATCACTTTACAGAAACCAAAATGAATTCTTTCCAGAAAGATGATAATATGCCAGGGACAAGAGCTTCCAAGGTTTTTTTCTTTTTTTATGTTAACATATATTTACAGTAAATATTCAATAATACTTTACAGCTTAAATAGAAACATGCTTTTCTAATCCATAAATAACACTAATCACCATCCATCCAACCACATTAATTAAGTACTTATGATGTCTCATGCACTGTGCCAGGGATGCAAAGCTGAATATGACATAGTCCTTGATCTAGAAGAGCCCATAGTCAAGCTAAAAAAAACAACACATAACATTTCCTTTTTTATACAATGAGGCCATTTCTATACAAACAGTACTGATCTGCTCAATTTCTTATGACAGTGTTTCCAAATCCTAACCCTATGGATCAACAGAGCAAGGTATTTAAAAGCTAAAATAATATAAGGTTGTGTTTTTGTTTTTATCCAGAAAAAGAAGCTAATGGATAGGATTTCCTGTATTAAATTTTTTTCTTGGGCTGGGGTATAGCTCGGTGGCAGAACGCTTGTCTAGCATGCATGAGGCCCTGGATTCAATCCCCAGCACCACACACACATAATTTTTTTCCCTAAATTTTTTAAAAATTGACTTGCACACATACATTTTCATTAGTAAACTGCTTAATTCAAATGTAAACAAGTTAATTACATAAGTATTTCATGAGCATTCTCTAAGGTCTACTACCAAAACAGGTTTAAGCATTACTAGGCTAATACATTTTGGTCCAGAATGACTGTTCTACCTAAGAGTAGAACAAATGCCATGTTTTCTGGGATAACCAATAATTTGCATGGTTTTAGTACTGGGGTATTGACTGATGACCCAAGTCATTAATAAAAGATTAAAATTATTCAAAATATAATTTCTGTTTAAGAAGCAAGGTAAAATTCTAATACAATCTAAAAAGTTTCTTAAAAATGATTTAAAAGTTTTAGTGCTGAAAGAGCAACTAATGATCTCACAAAGGTAATCCATAGAGTACCTCACTTAGTGAAGAAGTTGGATACATGGCTATTAATAAGTTATTGCCTTTTATCACTTCTTGAGTGTATGAGAGAAGTGTATATTTTTCATCAAAGAACCAGCATGCTCATAACACTTCAAAGACCAACTGCTTCATGATGGCCTGTTGACTTCCCAAACTTCCCAGTGCTGCATCTTCATTCCATAAGACCTTAAACCAGGTATGGCTCTTTCAGATTCAAGAATCTGTTCCTAGGCTCTGGCTAATCCAAATTTGTCCCCTTTCACATGCAGCCATTCTCAATATACTACCAAGTCTTCTATGGACCCGCAGAGGTAGCTTAGGGGAGATAGAAAGCAAGGACTAGGTGTTTAACTACCCAACACAGAGAAACATGGGAGCCGCTGGTGAGGACAGAGTATGGCTCAGGGTTTAAAGTTGTTGCTTTTTAAAGACAGGCCCCAGATGGCCTTGGTAGCACAAGAGAAAATGTCTACCCTGGAAGAGCTCTAAGCTTCAAACCTCTATAAGAGAATGGTAACCAGGTCTACTGAAGATCCTGGGTTCGTCTTGTGATCTGTCAGAGGACCCAGTTGACTTCTGAGGTTTGGTCCTAACTGCCTCAGCTCACAAGCTGCTGGTGTGAGACACTTCATGCAGCTGGCTCTGAATATCAAAGGTTAGTGCTTCTTCATGATGTGGAGATACATCATCAATGAATATAATGCTTGTGGGACAAAGCCATCTCATATCATTGGCCCTGTTTCCGATTTTGGTTTTATTTGCTATCATTTGAGAAAGATTTTCCCTTTCATGTAAGCAAATTCTTTTTTTAGAAGTTTATTAATTTAATTAAAATCAGACTTCTCACAGTTTTCAAAGTACAAAATAATACACCAATAAACTATAAAATACTTTTCAAGAAAAATGACAAGTGATGTAGACCAAGAACACATTCACCCTTCCACTTGGCCAAAGTCTGGTCTTCCTTAAATCTAGATTAATGGTGCTTTTAAGTTTTTCCTAATTACTTTCACCTGATTCTGTTCTCCTTTATACTATTTCAAGACAGTATGTGGTCACACAAAATGATATTAAAAGAATGAATTTTCACTTGTTTAAAAATTGTTCCACAAGCATGTGAAATGCATACATTCAGTCTTTAAAACTAGAATGTAACCAACAATAAAAAATTTAAAAAAATAAAATAAAACTAGAGTAGTTAGGGATTTATGCCTTTCATTTCTTTTGCTCATCCTCTACCACTAGTTTGGGTACTCTGGATACAGGAGGAGCATAAAGATGTAGGCCAAAATGTAATTTTAAGGAAACACTTTACATTTCATACCAAGTAATGATTTCAATGGCAATGGACATTACCACGTAGATGTATATTGTAACTCAGAGACTTGTCAGATGAATGCAAATATTACCGTGCTGTAACCATCCAGAGACCTAGCGTCACATTGGCAGCCAAAAGTACACTGCCACCAAGTAGGATGATAAATCCTACCAGATCTTTGACATCGTTGTCTCCAATCACTGAGGTAAGGGTGGCATCCAGGAAAGAGTTTAAAATCCACTGACCATCCAAAGCAAAGCAGGGCACTGCATTAACAATAGCCAGTGCTCCGGAGAGGGAAATCAGATACCTGAGTTAAAATCAGTTAAGGAGCCAGCTGTGAGCTGAGTAGAAACTACCTTTCTGAGAGTCACAAGAAGATACTGTTCTGGGACTGAATTTGAGATTATGAAGGATTTCTCTACTTTTTATTTTTTAACATCTCTGCCATTATATCTATTATTTAAAACAAAAGAGTTTATATTATTTTGAAGTTCAGAAATCTTGACAAGAAAAATAAGGCAAACCACTTATAGACAAACCAATTTATAATGAACTCCTAGAAAGATTAAGCTTCTCTAATCCTTTAATGACACCATGGAAAGAAATGTGGAAGGAATAAGAAATTGGGGGAAAATTACTTTTTTTGTTTTGACAGTGCTGGGGATGGAACTCAGGGCCTCACACATACTAGGCAAGCACTCTACCACTGAGCTCTACCCCCAGTCCCCAAATTACTTTTTGGTCTTTACAAAGACTTCCTTCATTTGAGGAAATGAAGCTTTTGACCCTTGAACCTTGCTTTATTTTATTATCATCTATAAGGTTATAGCATTAAGTATCTCTGACAAAGTTGCAGAGTCTCCAAGATACAATCTTGATTATACACTTTTTTTTTTAATTAACTGCTCATTTGTTCTCCATTTCATTTTGATCCAAATCATCAAGGAAAGAAAGTTAAAGATTTAAAAGTGACAAAAATAAAGAACTCTTCCAATTACATAATAATCAATTTCTTTTAAAAAATTCACCTTTTATATGCAAACAGGATATGCTATAGACTACATGAGATTTTGTCCTCTGAATTGCTATTTTATTAATGTAAACTGGTTTTATCTTCCTTAGGCATTCCTTAGTGGACCAGTGAAATGCATTTACATAATTCCTAGTTATGTATGTAAGAATTGTCCTCCATTTAGTCAAAACTAACAAGCTCAGATGGGCAGAATTCATCACCTTACTAGTAACTGAAGCTTTCATCCTTTATAAACTTACTAAAAGGTTTTAGACCTGTAAATTCAAATTTTAATTTGTATTCAGGGTTCCTTGCCTTACAGATCTTAACCTTTCTCCCTTTCTGATAATTTTTTTCCCTCCTTTTTCCCTCCCAGGTACAGTCTAAGCTCTTTCAACTTCTTTAAAGTCTCCTTTTTAGTTGTTAGTAGTTAAGTGATTCTTGTAAGGTTCCAATACTCTATTCAAAGTAAAACTGACCAATCTCCAAACAACGCTTTGAAAACTTTTTTTTTTTTTTCATACCAGAAAGGATACTTAACAAATGTCTCCACAATCACTGGCAGATCTATGCTTAAAAAGTTGAAACGTGGGATAAAACTGGTGATGCTCACTAAAAAGGAGAAACAAGGAATAATGCATATTATTTATATCAGATAAGCAATAGCATTATAAATTTTACCATAAGGTCAAAATGTAGGCTAGCTATTAAACAGGTTGAGAAAGCCCAGTCTATAAAAGCAATTATTATTCCAGAATAGCTAATAAAATGATTGGAATGAAAGAATTCATGTCCCAGTATGTATTTATAATTTGAAGCAAGAGTAAGATAAAGGGGACTATATACCAAATATGACTACTAAATACGGAGTTTGAAAAAACATTTTATAGTTTACATTAAAGAACTCCTACCCTTTCAAAGAGTTATAACTTTAAAATCACATTTACTCCAATTATTATGCTATTTAATCTATTTTTGGTCTCAGTTTTTTCTTCATTGCTAAAACAAGGATTACGATTAGGCAATCTTTAAAGTCCTTCCTCTTCCATGGATTCCAAAATCCTGTCTTTGTTCAAAACACTTAAAACTATCCTGTAATTAGGCAGAACCCACAGTACACATTTATGAATGATCTAAACTTGGGACATATCTTCATATGTTGAGGGTGTACTGAATAATTGCAGTCTAGAGTCATTTAGTGTCAAATGAATAAATAAGAAAAATGACCCAGATTTGTTTATCAGGATATGACTACAAAGCAATGAAAAAGCCTTATGTTTATTTATTTGATACTAAGGATTTATTTATTTGGTACAGGGCATGCTGCCATCGAGCTATATCCCCAGCTTTTTATTTTTCATTTTGAGACAAAGACATATTAAAAACCATTGATTTGTACATTTTAAAAGTGTGAACTGTATGATGAATTGTTATAAGAAAAAATAACATTAGGAATCTTGTACAATAAAATGAGTTGGACTATATAAGCCATATGAAGAAGTTATATATTTAGTTCAATCAGGCTGCTACTGGTAAAATGACTATGCTGGCCCAACTTTGTAATCCTACGTTCATGTGTCATGCATACATGCCCATACATCATGGCGTTGTCTAGGGTATGGAGCTCTTGCTACTATTTGGGGGAGCTTGAATAATTTAATAAACTCACAGAGAACATCTCTAAGACATCACCTATTTGACTTAGACATAAATAGTGGGAAGGTAAAAATTCATCACTATTCATGGGCAGGCTCTTTCTTGCTTCAGAAATTCAGATTATTTTCCTACTGCCTAAATTTCATTTAATGCTTAAGAACAAGAAAATAAGACTTTGACAAGTGATCAAATTTATAATAAACAAACTTAATGCAAGGACTTCTACTGAATTTCTACACTAAAAATATAGGTGATTTTAACAGTTTCCTACAGGTCCACCACAATAATACCCACCTGTATAGTGAAGATGTAGTGGATGTCCTACGTATAACATATCAATTTGAGGTGGGTGTTTTACTTTTATTAAGCGAGTGTGAGTTTCCAAAGAAGGTATTATACAGAAACTCGAACTTGAGCTTTTTTTACAATCCTTATTGGTTCTACAAACTTGAGTGGCTTCAACTGCTTTCCGGGCGGGTAGACATGTATGCTATGAATAAAATATTAATTAGTAAATATTAAAATGATTTATTGATTTATTAAATTCAAGTTACATTTTATCAATATTTTTCATGTCAACTAGCATATTAGCAGTGAAGTTCACATAAAGGAATTGCCATTTATGTACATACACTATAAATTAATTTCAAATATTCCACCGTGGTCATATAAGATATTACATTAGTATAAATTTTTAAAGATTCTCAGATAAAATGTGACATGAAATGTAGAGATGTTAATAAAATGATACAAAGTAAACAGAGAAAAAAGGGAGAAATTTTCATAATTTCCATTATAGCTTTCTATGCTTATTTTGTTATAATTATATCAGACAAGCAAGATTGCCTCAGGGCAACTTACCAAACGTTTATTAAAATTATTTCTGTAGGAAAAGCACACATCTGTGAGGCTGTGATTGTTACAGCATTCAGTGGAACCATCTAGCCGTTTGTATGCTAAAGAGAAACAGTGCTTATTTGATTATTAGAATCTGTTACATATTTGTAATAAAAAGTTTGCTTTTTTTAAGGCAAAAAGTAAATAAAATGGCATATGAATCAGGAAGCTGCATAATTCAGTGTTTAGCTTGACAGCTAATTGCTGCAGTTTGATTTTACATTATAAAAAGCAATTCATCCAATTTGAAATCAAAAGTGGCACTTAACCCTAGGTAAGCTGTCCTCATAAACTTATCCACCCATAAAGTTGGAGTTACAGGATTTCAGTAGGTTTTATAATAATAACCCTTTCTGAAGTAGATAGTGAAGAGGGCCTATCTACTTCTGAGAGGTTTTGGAAGATAGTAAATCTTGAGAATAGGGAAAATTGACAAATATTTCAACCTTAAAGAATCAGATTGCAGGCTGGGGTTGTGGCTCAATGGTAGACTGCTTGCCTAGCATGTGTGAGGCACTGAGTTTGATTCTCAGCACCACATATAAATAAATGAATAAAATAAAGGTCCATCAACATCTAAAAAATATTTTTTTAAAAAAGAATCAGGTTGGCCCACTGAATAATTTTAACATTACTAAATGGGAGAATACAAGTGCCTCCTGTTATGATCAATAGGAAATATTAGGTATTACCTATGAAGCATTTCTGCTAAAAGAAAAAACAAGGAGTATCCTGAATCAAATCAAGCCTCTAGACCTAACCACTGGTTTATAGGAAACCAGGGGCATCTGAACATATTAGTGACATCAAAAGGATATATAAATAGAAAAACCCAGAATAAATGAAGTTTAAATGGTTCAGTTTCTTCAATAAACATATACCATTTCAAAAACAGTCAGGAAACTACTAACAACTTAAAAGAGATTTTCAGAAGCCAAATTAAACAAACCAAGTATTAAAAAAAAAATTAGCGGGGCTGGGGCTGTATCTCAATGGTAGAGTGCCTGCCTTGAACATGTGAGGCACTGGATTCTATCTTCAGCACAAGAAAGAGAAAGAAAGAAAGAAAGAAAGAAAGAAAAGAAAGAAAGAAAGAAAGAAAGAAAGAAAGAAAGAAAGAAAGAAAGAAAGAAAGAAAGCTATTGTGTCCACCTACAACTAAAAAATAATTAGGGGTCTGGGGATGTGGCTCAGTGGTGGAGTGCTTGCCTTGTTTATGTGAAGCCCTGGGTTCAACCCCCCAGCACCATGAAAAGAAATTAAGGAAAACTGAACAGCAATAAGATATTTTGTTAGGTGTTGTTATGATTTGGATGTGAGGTGTGCCCCAAAAGCTTACATGTGAGACAATGCAAGATTCAGAGGAGAAATGATTGGGCTGTGAGAGTTTTAACCCAAGCAGTGATTTAATACCCTGGTAGGGATTAACTGTGTGATAACTGAAGTGGTAGGGTGTGACTGGAGGAGGTGGGAGTTGGGGCATGGTTTTGGGGTATGTATTTGTACCTGGAGGGTGGAGTCCCTCTCTCTGCTTTCTGATCTTGGTGATGGGAGCTGCTTCCCTCTGTCATCTTCTCCCGCCATGAGGTTCAGCCTCACCTTGAGCTCTGAGGAATTGAGCCGGCCTTCTACGGACTAAAACCTCTGAAACCGTGAGTCCTCAAATAAACTCTTCCTCCTCTATAATTGTGCTGGTCAGACCCTTTAGTCGCAGCAGCAAAATTGCTGAATAAAACAGGTGTGATAATGGCATTGTGTTCATGTTTAAAGAGTAATCACCTTCTAAAAAGAGGCTTAAGTTTATGGGTGAATTGATAGGGTGGGATATGCTTTAAAATACTCCTCCCAATAGTGGGCTGCTTAGATGACAAAAGTGACAAAAAAGGTCCATGAAGGCTTGTTTATACTACTCTTGGCTTTTATATATTTATTTATTTATTAATAAAATGTTCTTAAAATGGGTTATACAGGGGTTTTGGCTCAGGGGTTGTGGCTCAGTGGTAGAGTGCTTGCTTAGCACATTGAGGCACTGGGTTCGATCCTCAGCACCACATAAAAATAAATAAATAAAATAAAGGTATTGTACCCAGCTACAACTTTAAAAAAATTTAAAAAGTGTGTTATCTAGGGCAGGGAATGTAGCTTAATGGTAGACTTCAATCCCAAGCACTGAAAATAAAGTTATATATAGAAGACTAAATTTGAGAAAAAAATTAAAATATGGTTTTCACTACTTTGCCTCTGTTGCATAGTAAAATTATTCTCGAATATTAATCATATTTACCTATACCAGTAGTTGTGGACAAATATCTAGGGTATTTCTTGACCTAAAAATACAGGTTGTGAACATAATTTGTATTTTGGAACACTTTAAAAATTTGGGCCCAACAATTTTGTATAAAGAATACTGATGGGGCTGGGGTTGTGGCTTAGTGGTAGAGTGCTTTCCTAGCATGTGTGAGGCACTGGGTTTGATCCTCAGCACCTCATTAAAATAAATAAAATAAAGGTCCATCAACAACTAACAACAAAAAAAAAAAAGAGTACTGATGATTTCCCAGCAACTTACAAGGCTGAAACAAGTAGATCACAAGTTTAAGACCAATTTGAAAAATTTAGTAATACCCTGTCTCAAAATTAAAAAAACAGCTAGAGATAGAGCTCAGTAGTAGATTGCCCTCTGAGTTCAATTCCCAGTACTACAAAAAGAAAAGAAATAGAGATGCTGATTTTTTTTTTTTTTTTTGTACTGGGGATTGAACCCAGGGATGCTTTGCCATTGAGCTACATGCATCCCTAGTACTCTCTCTTACTCTCAAGCCCCCAACACAATCTATCTGTCTGTCTCTGTCTCTCTCTCTCTTTCACACACACATCCTCACACATTTATGTATGTATTTATTTAGCAACAAAATCTCACTAATTTGCTTAGGGCCTCACTAAATTGCTGAACTTGCAATCCTCCTACCTCAGCCTCCTGATACACTGGGATTACAGGCATGCATTACTGCACCCAGCCAAGTTGCTGACTTTTTAAAAAAATATTTATTTTTTAGTTGTAGTTGGACACAATATCTTTATTTTATTTATTTTTATGTGGGGCTGAGGATCAAACTCAAGGCATCTAATGTGCTAGGTGAGCGCTCTACTGCTGAGTGACAATCCCAGCCCAGTTGCTGACTTTTTTAGAGCTGAGAGAACTCAAAATGTTTAGTGGGTCCTGAGAAGAAACTTACTTTAGTCCTGTTACCTGCTGCACAGGACAACATATCTGACCTCAAGGGGTATTTTCATTAGCCAAGAAAACTTTTCCTGGATTTCTGCCACCTAAAATATATAAAATAACTCTATCCCAAATAGCTTTAAATATGCCACCATTCACACACAGCTACCACTAGAATTGTTTAAGTTTAGGTATATTTTAGCCAGAATATGTAAGGGAAAGTTTATGCAAAGGAAAATTGCTTCTTGTTACTTAAACTAATTTCAAAATTATATAAACGAAAATACTATTATATCTCTACACATAAAGATATTATATTAGGGTATTTAAGTACCCCTAATTAATTAAATTAAATTTAGTTAATTGGTTATGGTTGAGTTTGAGTACTGATTTAACAATTTTTTTTTTAATATTTATTTTTTAGTTGTAGTTGGATGCAATACCTTTATTTCACTTTTATATGGTGCTGAGGATCAAACTCAGGGTTTCACACGTGTGAGGCAAGCGCTCTACTGCTGAGCCACAATCCCAGCCCCTTAACAAGTTTTTTTTTTTTTATGGTATTGCGAACTGAACCCAGAGTTTCACACATGCTAGGTAAGCACTTTACCACTGAATGATATCCCCAGTCTATATTTAAAATTTTTTTTGTTGATGAATCATAGTTATACATAATATTGAGTTTCATTTTGACATAATCATACATATATAGAATATAATTTACTTCATTCCGCAGTACTTCCTCCTTCCCTCCCCTCTTCCCTTTCCCATTCTTCTTCCTCTACTCTACTGGTCTTCCTTTTATTTATTTACTGTTTTTTTGTTTGTTTGTTTGTTTTTGTTTTTAAGTGGTGCATTGTAGATATACATACAGGTAAAATTCACCATGATGTGTGTATAAATTTGATCAATTTCATTCCACTATTCTTCTTTTTCTGTTCCTCCTCCCTCCCTTCAATTCTCTTCCTCTGCTCCAATGATCTTCCTTTAATTTTCATTGGATCCCCCATTTTTCTCCTCTTTATTTTGGTCTAGATTCTGTATATGGGACAAAATATTCAACCCTTGACTTTCTCTGTCTAGCTTATTTCACTTAGCATGTTGTTCTCCAGTTCCATCCATTTATAGTAAAATACCACAATTCCATTCTTCTTTATGGCTGAGTAGAACACCACTGAGTATATATACCACATTTTATTCATCCATTCATCTCTTGACAAGCACCTAGACTGGTTCCATGACTTGGCTATCCCAGCCCATTTTTAAAATTTTATTTTGAGACAAGGTCTCACTAAATTGTCCAGACTCACCTTGAACTTACAACACTCCTATCTCAGCCTCTGAGTAGCTGACACTCCTATCTCAGCCTCTGAGTAGCTGGGATTACAGGCATGTGCTGGGGTGAGAGGAGTGGTGTACTAAAGATTGGACCCAGGGGCACTCTACCACTGTGCTGTGTCCCCAATCCTTTTTATTTTTTATTTTGAGACAGGGTCTTGCTAAGTTGCTGAGGCTAGCCTCAAACTTGCAAACCTCTTGCCTCAGCCTCCAGAGTCACTGGGATTTTAAGTGTGTGCCACTGCAAATTTTCTAAGAACAGAAAGAATTTTGTAATTCTAAAAGTCAAATATAAACCAGGAGTGGGGGCACACGCCTGTAATCCAAAGGGCTGGGGAGGCTGAGACAGGAAGATTGTGAGTTCAAAGCCAGCCTCAGCAACATCAAGGCGCTAAGAAACTCAGTGAGACCCTGTCTCTAAATAAAATACAAAAAATAGGGCTGAGGATGTGGCTATGTGGTTGAGTGCCCCTGAGCTCAATCCCTGGTACCCCTCCCCTGAAAAAAATCAAATATGATATTATAAATTAGAAGTTCAACAATAATATACAATAAAGGAAACATATATTTAGTATCCAGTTTACCAAGAATAATGCTTAGTTTGGGCTTGTTTATTTTGCTGACTTGCTTTAAAAATATTAGAAGAGAATAAATCTATAGACATGGTCTAAGGATTAGTGAATAGAAGGTAGTTGTGTTCAAAGCATTATATTTCACTGACAAAATACACATACCTCTAACTGGGAAGCTTAACTGTTGTAAAGTTGAGGCACTTATACAATAACCAATTTGGGGTTCATAGGCGATAGTATCTAGACATTCATTCCAATCTTGCACATTAGTAACAGGACAGTCCTGTAGATGAGTGACAAGGTCTCCCACAAAAAGGCCTCTGGGTCCAATGGCAGGAGAGTCCTTGGGAAGAGGGAAAAAACAAATCAGACAACATGTGAAGACAAGCTATGATTAGTTTGAGCAAACAATAGTAAAAGACATGAAGTCAATTAAGTAGAATATTTTTTAAATGCAGAAAATAATCCAGATTTGAATCTAAAACCTATAGTCCTAGAAAATTACCTAAATAAAATCCAAAAATTACAGTTGCTTTCTCTAAGTCTCCAAGATTTTGACTTTGTCACAATAAAAAAAATCCACTTGCTGACCATTAAGACTAAAATGACAAAGGACTGGGAGAGTGAATTGTTAGCATATGTGAGGCCCTGGTTTCAATACCAAGCCTCATATTCTCTCTCTCTCTCTCTCTCTCTCTCTCTCTCATACACACACACACACACATACACACACACACACAGCTTTTACCATATTTTGGAGAAACTTTCCCATATTCTCAAAATACATATAATTTTATAAGTCCGTATATAAATATAATCCCAAATATGCAGACAATACTATCAGCACTATAAACAGGTAAGCTCACAAAAGCAATTTTCCTCTTTAAAAATGTCTGAAGAGAAGATCTGGTGCAATTATAGTAGTCATGTATAAGGGAATGAAATACAAAGTTGAAAATATTAACTTAAACTCCTATAAAATGTTTTGTCTGGATAGCTTAGGTTTCATCTTTCTTACTACTTAGGAGAAATGACATTTGTCTCAAAAGCAGAGGTATAAAAATTAACAGTAAATGTAAACAATTAATTTTATTAACAAAATACATGGAGATAGATAATCTTGATATTATCTTTGTAACTCAGAACAAAACAATTTCCATGGAATTTTTAAAAGGCAAAACCTTTTGATACTCAAATTAGTATTATAAAACCTTTATATCTGTTTGGTTTAGCAGTGCATGCCTATAATCCAAGTGACTCAGAGGCTGAAGCACAAGAATCACAAGTCCAAGGCCAGTCTCTGCAACTTAGCGAGACCCTGTCCCCAAATACAAAATAAAAAGGTCTAGGGATATAGCTTAGTGGTAGAGCTTTCCTGAGTTCAATCTTCAGTACTGCAAAACAAACAAACAAACAAACAAAAAAACAAACAAAACCCCAGCAGTAGACACATTAAAAAAAATCTTTAGACTGGGGTTGTGGCTCAGTGGTAGAGTGCTTGCCTAGCATGTGTGAGGTACTGGGTTCAATCCTCAGCACCACATAAAAATAAAAATAAAGGTATTGTGTCCAACTACAACTAAAAAATAATTTTAAAAAATACCTTAAAAGAATAGAAGAGCTGGACATGGTGGCACATACCTATAATCCTAACAACTCAGAAGGCTAAGATAGGAGGATCAGAAATCTGGGCCATTTGGTAAAAATCTGTCTCAAAATAAATAAATAAATAAATAAATAGGGCTGGGGATATAGTTCAGTGGTAGAGTGTCCTGGGTTGAATCCTCAAGTCACAATAAAAAGGAAGGAAGGAAGGAAGGAAAGGGAAGGGAAGGGAGGAAAGAAAGGAAGGGAAGGAAGAAAGAGAGAGAAAGAGAGAGAGACAAAGAAAGAGAGACAAAGAAAGAGATAAAGAAAGAAAGATAAAGAGAGAAAGAGAGAGACAAAGAAGAGAGACAAAGAGAGAAAGATAAAGCAAAAGACAGAGAGAAACAAAGAGAGAGAGAGAGAAAGAGAAAAAGAAAGAAAGAAAAAGTGAGTGAAAGTATTTCCCAACATTATATTTAGATTTGAAAGAACTGCACTAATTTCTTCAGAAGAAACTGAGCATTCTGTGTATGAGAACTTGAATAAAATGCCAGATATTAAATGCTAAGTATTAGATCATATCATCTGGAGAAAGAGTGCCCCAAGTACCAGTAATCCATTATTTACCTCAGCAACTTCAGTGATAAGCACCCCAACTCCAGTGTAGTAAAATGGCAAGAGAATTACCGGGAGTAGAACAAGAGCTAAAATACCCAAGAGGGCAAGAACAAAATTATGCCAGATACCTGAAAAGAGAGAAAAAAAGTAGTAAGCTCAACTGGGGCAAGAGTGCCATAGGTAGCTGGATTTTACAACATGTAGGTATTCTGATAAATTAGTAAAGTGACCGGAAGAAGCTGTGAAGTAGAGAGAGCTATTGATTAATATAGCAGACAAATGTTCTGTTAGACGCTACCTTCAATTCAGATACCAATATCTAAAATGGGCTTGTTAATATCACATTAGAAAGACCACATGCTAGTATATTTAATACCAATAGAACTAATATATTCTACTATTCTCTTCACAAAATCTATACATCATTAATTTAAACATATTTGTGATATTTGAAGGAAATCTCAAATATATTCAAGTGAAAGTTATGACAAAATTAAAAAAAAATCTTGCCAAACTGGGATATGAAATCCCAAGTGGCACTTAGAAAAAAGGATTGTTTCCGTGGGAGGGAAAGGGAGAGAGAAGGGAAAATGCATGGAAATGGAAGGAGACCCTCAGAGTTATACAAAAGTACATACAAGAGGAAGTGAGGGGAAGGGGAAAAATAATATAAGGGGGACAAACGAATGTCAGTAGAGGGAGCAGAGAGAGAAGAGGGGAGGGGAGGGGAGGGGAGGGGAGGGGGGATAGTAGAGGATAGGAAAGGCAGCAGAATACAACAGACACTAGTATGGCAATATGTAAATCAATGGATGTGTAACTGATGTGATTCTGCAATCTGTATATGGGGTAAAAATGGGAGCTCATAACCCACTTGAATCAAATTGTGAAATATGATATATCAAGAACTATGTAATGTTTTGAACAGCCAACAATAAAAAATTAAAAAAAAAATAAAAATAAAAATAAAATAAAAAAAAAAAAAGAATTGAACTATTACAAAGAGTAATTTTGGTGGAACAACTAGTTATGTATCTTATATCATGTCACAGACTATAAAGCAACAGACCTTTATAAAGGAACTGGTTCTTTTAAAAAGAAAAAAAAAAGCTAAAATTAGGGATGGGGATGTAGCTCAGTGGTAGTGTACCAGTCAAGCATGTATCAGAAAAAAAAAAAAAAAAACAACCAGGAAAAAAAAAAAAGCTAATATTTACACCGCCAGATCTGCTGATCGTTTCCATCATATATTCAACATTTGCAGCCATTCAAAGGAAGACTTTTCCTATCCCTAATATTATGTAAGTAATTACTCTTTCTGTTTAGAAAGATGGTCTTAAATAGTTTTGTTTTGACATTTAAGTCTTTTATCATTTGGAATTTTTGTGTGTATGTTGTTGTGATTTATAAGTATGATTTTATTCAAATGTTTAATATTTTTTCCTCATTAAATTAAATGTTACTTTTCACCTATAGTATACTTGCATCCATTCATTGATTTGCTTTTGAATTTTCCACCCTTTTCCACTGTTCAGATTATTTAAGTGACGATAAAGCAGTCATAATTACTGGTAGTAATAATATTGTAGTATTTAGCAAGTAAATAGCTTCAATTTATTTTAATTTTTTTATTTTGGTTATTTCTCCTTTATTCTTTCTGAAAAATTTGAGAATCATTTTTGCAACCACCGAATAGTATTCAGAATAGCATTTCTAATACCACTACAATAACTAGGAGTGAATCCACAATTCTGTATTTCTAACATATGATCTTGGCATATCTACATTTACTCAAATCTTTTACATCTCTCACTAAAGATCTGTAGTTTTCTCTATATTGGACCTATATATTTCTTTAAAAAAGTTAACTTTTTTTTAGTACAGTGTATAATTCTCTGAATGGGATCTTTTCTTCCTAGGATGCTGTTGGGTTGTTTCAGGAACACTACACTCATTTACTTCTTAACCACCAAAATGAATTTTACATATAGAATTGCATGGTCTCTAAATTCTTCTAATAATGATAATTTATTTCCTCCCTATCCCACCTGTTTTGGTCTTTTTTTTTTTTCCGGTGGACACAACATCTTTATTTTATTTTTATGTGGTGCTGAGGATTGAACCCAGCACCCCGCGCATGCCAGGCAAGAGCGTTACCGCTTAAGCCACATCCCCAGCCCCTCTTTTGGTCTTGTAGCAGTGGCTAAAACTTCTAGAACAATGTTAAATAGTTGTGATAGCACGTCTTCTCTTGCTTCCTTCAGGATTTTAATGAAACAAGAAACATCAGGGCTTAGATGGAATTGGTTTATATACTAAGCAATGAGATCAGGGTAAAAATAGAAAAATATGAGTATAGGTGATCCAGGGTTTAAGTTTGAGATCATGGATCAAGGGAGAAGAAAATCTATTGCTGTGATCAAAGCAGCAAGGTACCCATTGCCTTGAGGCTGGTAATCATTACTGAAGAGGCTAATGTTTACTTCAATCAAGCCCTACTTGTGTTCAGTATAGTTTGGAAACAATAAAACACAACTACTTCAATTCTCAAACACACAGAAGTGATTTTAAGTGATTTTTAGGACACAAGATGACTTAATAGGTAAAAAAAAAATCAACTCACATTATTATTCCTAGAATCATCCATAGTAGTTATATCTGAAGGAATATAAACTGACTAGCAAGACCATTGCTTACTATAATTACATTATCATTTCCAGATTCACTAATATTTTTACTTGACCCCATAAATAACTTTCAATTAGCTGATATAAATAAAAACAAGATTTTCAATATTTAAGATTTTAAAAAATTTAACTATAGAGCCAGAATAGTCAAACTTTCTTTATTATTTAAAGTGATTTTTTAGCAGCAAGGCATAGAGGTTTAGTTAGTTAGTTTTGTTTGGCAGTGCTAGGAATCAAACCCAGGGCTCACACATTCACACATGCTAGGCAAACACTCTACCACTGAACTAAACCCTCAGCCCAAGAACTTTTTTTTTTTTGTTTGTTTGTTTTTGGTATCAGGAATTGAATCCAGGGGCACTTAACCACTGAGCCATATCCGTAGCCCTTTTTATTTTTATTTCAAGACAGAGTCTTGCTAAATTGCTGAGGTTGGCTTTTACTCCTGATCCTCCTGCCTCAGCCTCCAGAGTTGCTGGGATTACAGGAGTGTGTCACCATGCCCGGCTCCAAGAACTTTTTAAAAGCAATTTGCTCTTCACTTAGGATTGGACAGCAGGTACTATTTAATCTCCCTTCTGAAAATTCTTTATACTTTAGTTCAAAATTTAAACACCTTCCTATAAAATTTGCTCAGGAAGCATCTATCTCATCTCTCTTCCTCACCAAATTTCAGATATATGGCTACTGGATTTTCCTTTTCAAAATCAGTATGTATTTCATTGCTTTAAAAAATAGCTATTAGCTGGGCACGATGGCATATGCCTGTAATCCCAGTGGCTTAGGAGGCTGAGGCAAGAGGATTACAAGTTCAAAGTCAGCCTCAGTAATTTAGTGAGACTTTAAGCAACATAGTGAGACCCTGTTTCAAAATTTAAAAAAATAATAATAAAATAAAAAGAGATGGTGATGTGGTTCAGTTATTAAAAGACTCTGGGCTCAATTCCTGGTATCAAAAACAAAAGCAAAAACAAAACAAAACAAAAACTTCAAAAACAGTAGCTATTACATATGCAGTGCTTTAAAAGTAGCATTACAAAAGCAGAATTAAGTATTCTTCAGTAGACTACCATAAATAATATTCTGGACTTTTTACATGGAAGTGGGAAGACATTTTAGAAGCAATGAAATTATTAAGTTTAAAATCAATAAGCTAGGCATTATGTGCACATGAATCTGTTATCTCTCTCTCTCTAAGTATGTAATTTATGTATATTCCCCCTTGCTCATTTCCACTTTGGGTAACAGCAAGGTGAGCCCACAGATCAGTAACTATTTAGCAGGGAATGAGATACTAATCCCTTTTTTTAAAAAATATTTTTTAGATGTTGACAGACCTTTATTTTATTTATTTATTTTTACGTGGTGCTGAGGAACGGACCCGGTGCCTCACACATGCTAGGCAAGTGCTCTACCACTGAGCCACAACCACAGCTCTGATCAATCCCTTCTTACAGATAATTCTAAATCTTTGAATTTGCCCTCTATTGATTTTATGGCAAGATGAGCATATCCCCCCTTCCACCTCTCCTTATCCCTCTGCCTGGGAAAGAAGGCAGAGCAAAGCCACCTCATTCTCCACTAGGCTGACAACTTCCAACTGGGAATGACAAGGTGACGGGTTAGGTAGATAGATAGCAGGACTAGTTACTCCTATGCCAATTAGTAAACTCTGAAGGAGATATGTGGACCCAATTATTGCTGGAGACATATAACTTTCTTTGGCCCTAGTTGGGAATGTAGAGTGCTTGCCTACCATATGTGAGGTCCTGGGTTCAATCCCCAGTACTGCAAAAAAAAAAAAAAAAGATTTCCCTATTTTACCTACCAGCACCACTCACAGTAAACATATTCAACATTTTCCTTTTATCCCTCCTGAAATTTTCTCTGCCCACACCAGCAAGTATGTGAGTATATTTATGCATATATTTATTTATCCAAAGGTAAAAACCAGAATGTTGGGCTGGGGATGTGGCTCAAGCGGTAGCGCGCTCGCCTGGCATGCGTGCGGCCCGGGTTCGATCCTCAGCACCACATACAAAACAAAGATGTTGTATCCGCCGATAACTAAAAAATAAATATTAAAATTCTCTCTCTCTCCTCTCTCTCTCTCTCTTTTAAAAAAAAAAAAAAGAAACGAACTTTATTTAAAAAAAAAAAAAAAAAAAAAACCAGAATGTTTTCTAATAATTCTTTAAGGATACTTAAGAATGGTTTTAAAAGACTCTCCCCCCCCCCCCCCCCCCCCCCCCCCCGCAGTACTGGGGATTCAACTCAGGGGCGGGGCTCTACCAGTGAGCTACATCCCCAGCCCTTTTTATTTTTTTGAGGCAGGGTCTCACTAAGTTGCTGAGGCCGGCCTTGAACTTGCAAACCTCCTGTCTTAGCCTCCTGAGTTGCTGGGATTACAGGCACCCACTACTATGACTGGCTGGCTAAAGGACTCATAAGATAATTATCCATTTAAAATCTGTATTGTTACAATTATTGAAGAATGAATGTGGTGTTTAGTTCTAGGTTATGATGCATTGTGAATGTCCAGAAATATGTATACAAACACAATAAAGGGCATTTTAAGATACAGGTTTTTGAAGAGGACTTAAAATCAGCCTACTACAGTGATGCAGCCACATCATGTTTATAGCAACTCAATTCACAATAGCTAAACTATGAAAGCAACCTAGGTGCCCTTCAATAGATGAATAGATAAAGAAAATGTGTTGTACATACACAATGGAATATTATTCAGCCATAAAGAAGAATAAAATTATGGCATTTGCCAGTAAATGGAACTGGAAAATATGCCAAGTGAAATAAGACATTCCCAAAAAACCAAAGGACAAATGTTCTGATATGCAGATGCTAACACAAAATAAGGGTGGGGTTGGGGAGTAGAAGTTCATTGGATTAGACAAAGGGAAATGAGGGAAGGGAAAGAGGATAGGAATAGGAAAGACAATAGAATGAATCGGACATTCCCATGTTCATTATGAATACACAACTAATATACATGTACAACCACAAGAATAGGAATTCATACTTCATGTATACATAATATGTCAAAATACACTCTACTGTCATGTGTATCTAAAAAGAACAAATTTAAAAAAGTGAATGGGAATTTAAACCTAAAAAAAAAAAAAAACTGGATACAGGTTTTTGGCTTTTTCTCTTCCTTCCTTCCTTCCTTCCTTTTTTTTTTTTTTCCTTTTTGGTGCTAGGAATCAAACCCAGGGTCTCACACAAGCTAAGTACATGATATATTACTGAGCTATACCCCCAGATTCTAAACATACTTCTTTTGCAGTGTTGGGGATGGAATCCAGGGCCTTGTGCATGCTAGGCAAGTGCGTTACCACTGAGCTACACTCCAACCTTCTGTTTTAGTGTTTTTTAAATATATTTTTAGTTGTTAATGGACCTTTGATTTATTTATATGCAGTATTGAGAATTGAACCCAGTGTCTCACACATACATGCTAGGCAAGCGCTCTACCACTGAGTCATAACCCCAGCCCTGTTTTATAGTTTTTTAAAAAACAGAACAGGGAGGAAGAGCATGAGAAGATTACCATTAGACAGGGACGAGAGGTGGGAGGGAAAGGGAGAGAGAAGGGGAATTGCATGGAAATGGAAGGAGACCCTCATTGTTATACAAAATTACATATAAGAGGATGTGAGGGGAAAGGGGAAAAAAACAAGAGAGAGAAATGAATTACAGTAGATGGGGTAGAGAGAGAAGATGGGAGGGGAGGGGAGGGGGGATTGGAAGGGGATAGGAAAGGCAGCAAAATACAACAGACACTAGTATGGCAGTATGTATAAACGTGGATGTGTAACCAATGTGATTCTGCAATCTGTTCACGTGGTAAAAATGGGAGTTCATAACCCACTTGAATCAAATGTATGAAATATGATATGTCAAGAGCATTGTAATGTTTTGAACAACCAATAAAAAAACTCATTTTTTTTTTTCTCTTAGGACTTATACCTTATCCTGTGGCAGAGATAATTACATGAACTCATTGGTGTGGTAGAACTGTTCCTACCAGCTTGCCAGGTCAATTGTGTACATTTCTTTCCAATTCCTTCTTCAGAAACTGTAGGTCAGTCGCTTGAAACTGATCATGGTGGGAGCATTTACACCATAGAAACCAGCAAATGCTAGTATCAGGGTTTCCCACCCTACCCTCCAGAGCCAGGAGTTAAGCATTCACTAGCATACTCTCCTCCTATATACAGTCTTCCCTTTTTCCATAACAGTTTTTCTCATCGACAGGATAGAGGAATTATTAGAACCAGGGTAGGTGCATTATTAGTATAAGTGGAAGTAACAGGAACAACTCTGCGCTGGAATGTACTATGATGGAGTTGGACTTGAGTCTGTGACAAAGAAGCTGAATGCTGGGAATAGAAGAGCTCACAAGACAGGAAGAGCCCAAAAGTCTGCCAAATCACAGAATCATCATATCAACACTGAACTGTTTATATTTGGAAAATTTTATGATAATTTAGGTCACTGTTATTTTAGTTATTAAAGCAGGTAGATACCTAGTAAACACATGTTCCATTTACCATGTGCACATTGCAAATTGTTTTAAAAAGTTTTCTAAGTGGTTAATTCTACAAATATCCAGAGTAAGTCTGGTCTAGAATTTATGGGGTAAATGATATCTTCTATTATATACAGATACATCCTTAAAAACACCAAAGGTGGGCTGGGGGTGTGCTCAGTGGTAGAGCAGCTGTCTGATATGTGCTAGGCACTGGGTTTGATCCCCAGCAACATAAACAAACAAAAAACCCTAGCAATGGTATTACATTAGGTATTATACTATATTTTAGACCTTTTCCCATATTTAGTCATGACTAACCCCCACCCCGTTTTGGTACCAAGGATTGAACTCAGGGGCACTCAACCATTGAGCCACATCCCCAGCCCTATTTTGTATTTTATTTAGAGAGAGGGTCTTACTGAGTTGCTTAGCACCTCACTGTTGCTGAGGCTGGCTTTGAACTCCTGATCCTCCTGCCTCAGCCTCACAAGCTGCTGGGATGAGCAGCTGGGATTACAGAAATGCTGGGATTACAGGCACACACTACAGTGCCTGGCAACAGGTTTGCTTTTATTATGCATCTAATTAAGCACGTATCCGTAAGGAGATAGAAAATTATCTAGAAATGGAATTGTTGGATCAAAAAAGTATGTGAAATAAAATTGACCTTCAACAAATTTACATTAATTTATGTTCCTATATTTGAAGTTTCTCTTCCCTCTGAAGAGAGTGGATACTATCATTAAATTTAGTCTTTGATACAATCTGCTGGGTGAAAAATGAAATCTGTCTTGATTTCTATTTTATTTTGGTACTGGGGTTTGAACCCAGGGGCAGTTAAACAGGGAGCTATATCCCCAACCTTTTTATTTTTTTGAGACAGGGCCTTGTTACATTGCTCAGGGCTTTGCTAAATTGCTAAGGCTGGTTTTGAATTTGCAACCTTCCTGCCTCCGAATCCTGAGCCCGATTACAGGCATGCGCCACCACACCTGGCTTGATGCTGTGTCTCATGAAAGATCCTACACATTCTATAAGGCTATTCATATTTCTTCAGAGAGCTGCATATTTCCATCCAATGCCTGCATACATCCTTGGTCACTTGCTAAGCGCTCTCCTTTAAAAACCTAATTTGCATACATTATTACTTATAAAATATAAATAGAGGAATTTAGTCCTTTGTAATAGGTATTATAATTTTCTCCTCTGAGTTTCTTTGGCTCGTTTTGTAGTTTTGCATTTATAGGCATTTTAAGTTTTGGCATGGTCAGTGGGTTCCTTTGTAGTCTTTTCCACTTTAAGATTACAAAAGATACTCACATGTGTTTTATTATACAGCTTTCATAGCTTTATTAACAAAAGTAAAACAAAAAACCCTCTAATTTCTTCAATTCACTCTGGGAAAATGAATTCGGAATACTGCGGGTGCGTGCCCTCCCCCACGGCTCCACGGGCTCCCCCTCCCTCTCCGTGACTCCTTTTTCTCCCCATGCCCCCCTCATGCCCCCCTCATGCCCCTGCTGCGCACCTATCCCTTTATCCATCTTCCTCCCCACCCCCACTCCCAACCCCATGGTGCTAATACTAGTCAAAGAAACAAGGCATGAACAAAAGGAATGAAGGTAAGGGCACACAGCTGCATAGATTCCTTGACTCTACAGGTGGTCTCCTATTTCTTGCCAGGCATGCAGCCTAGTACCGTTATCACCCCTCTAGATTCTGAATTTGTCTACGATAGCTTAAGTGACAATGGGGATGGTGGAACAAATTTCTTTCTAACCTTCTCATCCATTAATGATTTGTCTATAAGCACACACGAAAACTGTTACAACTTTGACTGTCTAGAACAGGTTTCTTAACACTGGTACTGCAGGCATTTCAGCAGGATAATTCTTTGTCGTGGGGGATTGTCCTATGCATTATAGGACATTTAGCAGTACTCTATCCCTATACCCATCAGACACCAGTAGCACCCTTCACTTTTCCTACATTTCCTAGACACTGTATTTATACAGACAAGCTTTATTTCCCTTCTTTTAGAACAGCTATTTTATTTTTGCTTTTTTCTATTACACAGGATGTATATAATGTGTTGAAAATCAACATGCAAACAATATATTCTCCATCTGAGCACTACTCTAACAAGCAAAGAAATCACACTGGATGATAACATTTGGTAATATTTTTTGGAAAATAAAATTGACCAAAATAGGCTCAAACTGACTAATACTACCAAATCATCTAATGTTCAATGTCATTCAATTCAATGCAGCTTAGTTATGCAAAATGTATTAACATCAAAGAATAAAACCAAAATTAAGACAGCAAATAAAAGTTACTTTTCTTCAGCAGGAAAATACCTAAGTATGTAAATGTTCATTCTTTTAAAGAAAACCTCTGCACTCAAACTTGTTCACCTCCAAAAAAAAAAAAATCAAAACAGTATTCCCAAACATATTTCTAAGAGTATAAAGATGAACATTTGGAAAATAAAAATTTAAAATATAGGCAATAAGTGAACTTCATATTTTTAAGAATGACAAAAGTCTCTAACTCAGCTTGAACAAGCTGTCCTTTGATGTCAGGCTCATCAATCATTCTCCTGTAGGGAAAAAACTTCACAGAAATATCATTACAGAACAAGGCAGTGAGTGCATTTTAACAATATTATGCTACATAAAATTTGCTTTTTCAGAAATATTTTAACTTTAACTATTCTATCAAAACATGACCTTGCATATTCAGGATACATTTTCCTTTTTTCTTGGAAAACACCTTTTTTCCCTCAAACAACAAAGGGCAGACATACTCTCAACCATACCAGTGGAAGATACTTCCCGAATTGGGGAAGGATCTTTTTTCACTGGCTGGTCTCGTTCTTGGTATGCGTTAAGATATGCGACTTCAGGTTAGCTGATTGAGCAAACTTCTTATTACAGCCATCAAAAGGGCACACATAGGGCCTGTCTCCAGTGTGGATTCGTACATGGGTGCGCAAGTTGAAATCCAGAGAAAACCGCTTTCCGCAGCCTTCAAAGGTGCACTGAAAGGGCTTCTCTCCAGTGTGAACCAACTGATGTCGCTTTAATTTGGAGCTCTCAACGAAAGCTTTGCCGCATTCTGCACATACGTGGACTCGGGGACCGTGGGTGTGCAGATGTTTTCTCATAGCAGAATTATCCCTGAACATCTTCACGCAGCCTTTATGAGGGCAAGCGATGTTTCTTGGGCCATCTTCTTTGGGTTTTTTTGGCTTCATTCTGGTAAATTCTGCCAGCTGCTTGGGATCAGAGAGGTCAATACCTGGTATTCCTTCGGGAGGAAGTTTCTTCCCTGTCATGTACTCAGAATAATCAGGAGGTGAGTTTTCAGTCTGTCCTTGAACCTCTGTCCCCTGGTTTCCTTTGTCAACTGAGGGCCACATAGTGACAGAGAACTCTCCCTCCAGGGTTTTCATCTGCACCTGCTTCTGTTCCCACTTCTTACTGCCCAGTTCAGAGCTGCCGTTTCCTACCTTGGTCTCACTGCTGGCATTCTTGCTGCTGTGCTTGCCACTCTGGCTGGTGTGCTTCCCACCACTGTGACCACAGGCTGAGGACATGGTGGAGCCAGAAAGAGATGCTAGGGTCTGCTGGAAACTGACATCTTCACCGCCGACTGGGTCAACCACTTCGCCCTCGAGCTCATTGTTGGCTGGCAGGTTGTCTGCATCACAGTAACCCACCACCTCCTCTAGGGTCTGCACCATGATCATTTCCTGATCGTGTTCTCCGTGGCTGGCAGTGGGAGTGACCAGAGGCTGAAGTGCAATTAGCAGTGGGTGGTTGTGGCCACCGTGGGCCCAATTACCGCTAATATCCTCGTACACTTCAATGGTTTGCACGGCCATAGTCTCCAAAGGAACCGTTTCCACATTAATCTGGTGCAGTTCTACAACATCTACAGGCATCTCCAAATTTTCTGTGGTAATGTAGATAACGTTGTCTGAAGACATGGCAGAGACTTTGCAGTGGTCTCAGCTACTCCGCAGCTGGTACAGGCCAGGCGCAGCTGGTACAGGCCAGGAGATGGCGGAGAACCAAGGAGAACGCAGGTTCAGGTACAAAACCACGAACTGCAGAGGAAGGCACGAGCTTGCAAAGCGTGTGTGCTTGAAGAAAGCGTGGGCTCTAAGGCAAATTACAGGCGGTTGAGTCAGAAGACGCTCGTTCTTCTGGGAACACCAAGCGCATGCGCCTGGGCACCACACGCAGGCACTTCCGGCCACTGAGCAATCGCGTGCCCACGTCTATACCCACGTCAATGCCCACGTGCTCCTCTATACCCACGTGCTTGTGCTCGCGTGTTCGCATTGAACGTCCGGCTTTCTTGCCCCGCTACTGTTGTTTGAACATTAATTTTGCTGTCCAGATCCTTACTGAATTTTTCTGCATTTCATTTCAGTTGATTTTGTAACCCCCCCAACCAGGCTTATAATTAAGTATCTGGGGAAAAAAGAAAAGCCACTCATTTTTAATATTTAAGCTTCTTTATTTCCTCTAATTTAATTACACTGATCCACATTTACAGATCAACATTTAATAGTATCAACAATAGTTGATAGTGGGATTCGTTGTCTTGTCCTTTAATAGAAATGCTTCTAAATGTTAAACCAGTATGAAATATACAGTTATTCCTACTTTTAGTATTTTACAAACCATAAACAGATTTTGAATTTTGTTAAACACTGTCAGTATCTTCTGAGATGAGGAAAGTTTTTCCCCTAATGGTGAAAAATATTTACTACAGTCAAATAGATTTCCTAATGATGAGCCATCCTTGCATTCTTGAGATAGGCCATATGCTTATAAATTTTCTATACACGAAAGATATATCATTGGTATATTGACTTTAAAAAAGTCTCAGTTTTGCTGGGGCAGTGGCACAAGCCTGTTATTCCAGCAACTTGGAAGAGGGAGGCAGGAGGAAAACAAGTTCAAGGCTAGCCTCAGCAACTTAGTGAGACCCTGTCTCAAAACAAAAAATAAAAAGGGCTGGGGATATGGCTCAGTGGTTAAGTGCCTCTGAGTTCAATCCCTGGTCCAAAGAAAAAAGAAAAGAAAATCTATACATTCAAGATTTGAAAGAGCCCGGAGTGGTGGTGCATGCCTGTAATCCCAGTGCCTGGGGAGGCTAAGGCAGGAGGATTGCACGTTCAAAGCCAGCCTCAGCAACTTAGCATGGGCCTAAGAAAATTAGTGAGACCCTGTCTCTAAATAAAATACTAAAAAGGGCTATAGAGGTTAAGCAACCCTGGGCTCAATCCATGGTAACACAAAAAATTAAAGAATTCTACCTGTGAATTTTATAGGGACATTCTTCATCAACTTTGTTTTAATTTTCTCTGCATTAGCTGTCAATTCCCACACTGACTAATTCTGTCTATAGATGCTTCCTCCCATCATTTAATCTTTTTTTCTTCAAATAACTCTTAGATTTAAGTTCTAATTTTATTTTTTCCATTGTTTTCTGCCTCTATTCTTTTTCAAAAATTGTTTTGTAGTTGTAGATGGATAGGCTTTTATTTTATTTGCTTATTTTTATGCTAAGGATAGAACCCAGTGCCTCATATGTGTAGGCAAGCATTCAGCCACTGGGCTACAGACCCAGACCCTATATTCTTATTACTTCTTCATTCTAAAAACTATTTTATAGCTCTTTTCCTACTCTTCATTTTTTTTTCCTTTTTTTCGGTACCAAGGATTGAACTCAGGGCTTTATCCATGCTAGGCAAGTGCTCTACCACCAAGCTACACCCCAGATCTTCATACTCAAGTTGAATATTTAACTTATTTATTTCCATTTCTAATTGCATAATAATCACCTAAGATAGTGAATTTTCCTTATGGCAAACTTTTAGCAAAACTTCACAACTTATTCTGGTAAAATGATTTAATTATCATCATTTTTATACTGCAATTCTGGTTTTAAGTTGATCCAACATGTGATTAAAACAAAATTCTAAATTTTGTTTTAATTTAGGAACTTAAGTTCCTACTATTATTTTGGTAATTTATTGAAGACTTTTTTGTGAACTAATACATGGTCTTTTTTTTTTTTTTAATTTCATGGGCACTTGAAAGTAAATTGTCTTCTGTGTTTATGTTATAGAATTTGATTTGCCTATTTTACTAATTTGAGCTTCCATAGCTTGTCTTTCTTATACTTATCATTATGTGTTGAAAGATGAATATCTTTATTAAATTTGTTTCTCCTTGAGCCTTTTCCATTTTTTTTTTCTAAGTTTTGATGGTTTGTTACTTCATACAACAAGATTCATAACTATTGTTTATTTTATTTTTTAAATGATTATTTTTTAGTTTTTGGTGGACACAATATCTTTATTTTATTTTTATGTGGTGCTGAGGATTGAACCCAGTGCCTCACGCATGCCAGGTGAACACGCTACCACTTGAGCCACATCCCGAGCCCCTATTGTTTTATTTTTCTCTTTCTTTCTTTCTTTTCTTTTTTCTCCCTTGTTGTATTGTGTATTGGACTCAAGGCTTCTGCATGCTAAGCCAATGCTATACCCTCAGCCCCACTATTATGTTTTCATATTATCTTATATTCTTCATTATTACTAAGTGATTCCTATGCCTCACTTAATGCACTTTGGATACATCACATATAATGGAGTATAATTTCTCATTCTTCTGGCTGTCTGGCACTATTTATTTTGTGTGTGTGGTTCTGGGGATTAGAACCCAGAGGCCTTGTGCATGCAAGGCAAACACTCTACCAACTGAGCTACATTCCCAGCTCTGGTTGTTTTTGGTTTTTTTTTTTTGGTACTGGGGATTGAACTCAGGGGCACTTGACCACTGAGCCATATTCCTAGCCCTATTTTGTATTTTATTTAGAGGCAGGGTCTCACTGAGTTGCTTAGTGCCTCACTTTTGCTGAGGCTGGCTTTGGAATCCTGCCTCAGTCTCCTGAGACACCCAGCTTATTTTATCTTTTGATGATATCAGTTTTGTTGACCTGTTTCATGCTTTCACTATTGTAATTTGAAAGTTTTATGTGTGTCTTTAGATCTTGTAATGTTTACATTTAAGTGGTACAGTCAAGCCTCTATTTCTGATTTATCAACTTCAGGTAGACTCTCTTTCCACTATGATGAAGTTGAGAACATTAGTACTTAGACTTCCTGTTTTTACTTTCCTCACCTCCAATTTTTTTTGGACACTTGTATAATCACAGTCTGTTCAAGGATTGCAAGTTCAAAGCCAGTCTCAGCAAAAGTGAGGCACTAAGCAATTCAATGAGACCCTGTCTCTAAGTAAAATACAAAATAGGGCTGTGGATGTAGCCCAGTGGTTGAGTGGCCCTGAGTTCAATCCCTGGTATCCCACTCCAAAAAAAAAAAAAAAAAAGAATTATAATTACACTCTTGCTTAGCTTCAGTTATTCCTTTTAAAGAGATGCAGAATTGTGATGAATTTGTCATATACTAATTTAACTCAGATGGATCTATGTATCCCAGAATTTCTTCCTATGTAGCTGTATATCTCCAAGTGATTCTGTTTCTCTGAACTCTGACAATGTTAGAAGTCATTATCCATCCTCCCCATCCTTGAGTGCTATCTCTTCTCCATTTCTGAATTCCTTTATCTCTTGGTTGATTCTTCAAGTTCTCTTTTGATTTGAGCAAATTGCCCTGTATTTCAGCTGAAGTAACATTCTTCATAGTTTGCAGGCTCTGTTTTTCTTTTATTTTGTAGTGCTGGGGATCACAGGAACTAGGTACATGCTAGGTAGGTGCTCTGCAACTGAGCTATATCCCCACCCCTTGGTCATTTTTTGCGTCAGTAAAAACAAAGCTTTCTTCTGTGTTTCGTTTTTAAAATTTTAACCATTTGTGTTCTTTCAGTTGGTATTAAAGAAATAATTATAAATTATTTTATTGTACTACTTTTAAGGTAGCCTTATAAGCTGAGTTTATTAACCAAAAGATGTAATTTTTGATGTCAGTACTTTCAATAAAACCACTAACCATAGAAAACTAAAACAAAAACCACAGATGAATGTTAAAAAAAAAAAAAAAGAAAAAGTCGTCTGTTACCTGCACAAAATATCCTTAGCTGCTGAACTGGTGATATAAGTTGCAGATGGGTAGTGAACAGATCCACAAATGCTCCAGGATAAATTATGAAGAGAAAAATCCCAAAGCCATTAAATCGAACTTGTTCCCTAAGAAATCACAAGAGAAAAAGGAATTTACTAATACTATTGCATTTGTCATATTAATAATTTATGTAATTTAAAAAAAAATCACTCTAATTTCAAATTTTGATTTGAAAACCAAGTCCCTGGAATCTAAAAAACTGTGTTGATACAATATATAATCATGATTTTAGAATAGTGTAGTATATATTTGGCTGTCTAAGAAATTAAAAATTATAAAACAGAGAGCATTCTGATATAGACTAACAACTTCATTATGCTGAATAATAATTGAAATTAGACATATATATAAACAGATGGTTATTGCTGAGAAATTAAATGATAATAATTTTTATGGTTTCCTATGAACTATTTTTAGAGAAAGACACAGAAGAATATATAATTCAAGTAAATTATCAAATAATTCTAATTATCTTAGCTATTACAAATAGCAGGGGAGATTTATTCCTATTGAGGTAATGTTAAATATTTTTGAAAATATATAATGCTCAGATTGTCCTTAAGAGAACTATTTTTATCACTTTATTTTCTAAAATAAGCATTATACTAATAGTCTCATAAGACCAAACAGCTACTCTAAAAGAAAAGCAGCACCCTAATATATTGTGCTGTCAATACTAAATATATAAGACAATACAATTTACTTTTGTTGGCAATTGAGATTTTATTAAAAAATTAATTACCCAAGTTATACTATTAAGTTGTTAACAACACCTCTATATGTAAACCCTAAAAGACTGCAAAATAAAAGCAAAGGTGAGAGTTAAAATAAAAGTTAATTGCCCTTTAAATCACTACCATGCACATCTGTGCAACAGTGTATGTTCTGTCAAGATGAGGATTTATTGCCAACAGACTCTAGTTCATAAGCAACTGGACAATAATAAGAAGCAATCAAGTTATTTCCTCTAAATAGTAGTTTGCCTTTTCTCTCGGCTACATACTCAAAAGGATGAAACACATTCCTGTGAGCATGCTTGGTTATAGCAGTAATTATCAGCAGGGTGACAAGGAAGTTGTGATGTACCTTCTTTCCACTATGATTTTTGTTGTTTTTGGCACCAGGGATTGAACCTAGGGCTAATCATTAGGCTTAATCATTAAGCCACATTCCCAGCCCCTTTTTATTTTTTATTTAGAAACAAGGTCTAGCTAAGTTGCTGAGGTGGCTTTGAACTTGTGATCTGAACTGCTGGGTTTACAAGTGTGCAACATCATGCCTGGCTCCATTGTGATTTTATAATTTTAGTAGGCTTTTAATTACTCAGGTATAATTAGAATGATTATACTTGGGTATTAAAGACTACCAAGACATGATTCTCAAAGGAAGTCCTAGGTTTCATCCTCTTCTTATCTTCCACTTGAGTTTCTAGATAGGCTATGATATTTGTTAAATCAGCATTTTTAGTTTTCTTACTCTAGCCAATACTGCACATGACCAGATGCAGGAAATTATTTCAGCTAATAAGCCAAAGAAAGTACCAAGGTGGGGGCTGGGGTTGTAGCTCAATGGTAGAATTCTTGCCTAGCATGTTTGAGGCACTGGGTTTGATTCTCAGCACCACATATGAATAAATAAAATAAAGTTCCATTGACAACTTAAAAAAAAAAAAAAAGAAAGTAGCAAGGTGTGTGAGGGAGATTGAGTGCAATGGTTATCATTCTAACCCAATGACAAACAGAAACATTAGCTTTCAAGATGGGATGAAAAACCTTGAAGCACCATGAAGCCACAACCATGCCAGCAAAAGGCAGAAAGACACAAATTATAGATATGCACATTCATCAATATATTAATCTTTTCTAGAAAAAAAGAAGCTACCTCAAAGTAATACATGAGGGATATGCACTGGGCAATTTCCAGAGAAAGACTAATAGTTATTAAATACAGCAGATTTTAGTAACTAACCCTCCTAAATGAAAAGCTTCTTTGCATGTAGTAGAAAAGAACAAAGATAAATATCATTACCTAATAGCTGCTATTCCATGTCCAATTTCATGTACAACACCGCTAATGAGAACTGCAGCGAAGAAATAGGTCAGTTGATTGACAGGTAAATTTATTCCAGGAACCTGTTCATAGACACAACATGGCAGTAACTGTCATCTGGAGGTGCAAGGGAGCTTGGGCACCAAGAGATAATGATATTCACTGTGTATTAAAGCTTAGACATCCAAACTGCATGTTCTGTACACTAAAGATAACATGAACATTAATGATTCACTCATCTATACCATAATTAAAAGCAGAAACACCAGTCAGTTTCTGAATTGGCAGTTTGTCTGGAACAAGCACAGCACCAATACAAAGTGAAAAGGAGACACTAGGTTAAAAAGTTGGAACTTTATTGGGGCTGGGATATAGCTCAGTTGGTAGAGTGCTTGCCTCGCATGCACACAGGCCCTGGGTTCAATCCCCCCCCCAACACAAAAAAAAAAAAAAAAAGTTGCAACTTCAGCTTCCTGAAGAGCTCACCATGAGAGAGCCCAGCATAGTGGCAGGGAGTACAGAGTGACAGTGAAGGAGGCAGCAGTTGATCCATCCTCAAAGGCTGGATACTTGATTTGAGGATATTTGTTAAAATTTATAGTCCTTAAAAAATTATAAATCCTTCCTCTGAATTGTTACTGTTACTGTATGGTTTTAAGTACTTATGTGGAGTGATTCAGAACACCTGCCCTTGCCCCAAATTAGTGAGTTTCATTTTAATATTCTTAAATTATAGGACAGCTGATAATGAAAGCTAGTGTAATAAAACATCTGATCAGCATGGGAAAACAATGCCCTTCATTGCTTCTATTCAGTTTGTCAATTATATTGGTCAGAAAATAGTACCAAAAAGATACACACACACACACACACACGTATATATATGTGTGTGTATGTGTGTGTGTGTGTGTGTATATATATATAAAATTAAAAAATATATATTTTATTAGTTGTTCATGGACCTTTATTTTATGTACTTATTTATATATGCTGCTGAAAATCAAACCCAGTGCCTCGCACATGCTAGACAAGTGTTCTACCACTGAGCCACAACCCCAGCCCTATAAATTGAAATTTAATGCAGAAATTAAGACACTTGGAACACAGCTACATTATGGACACAAGGAGCAGGAGTTGTCTTGCAATCATGTGCCCCTAAAATGTTGTGCATATAAATATTGATGCATATATAAAGGAAGTTTGCTATTATAAGAGCTGGATATTATAACATTCTTTTAGTAAGTCCACAGTCTTCTCATAAGGTAAATGATCACTCCCAACTTACACTATCTTTTAGGGAGAGATTCTGTAATTTCCATAATGAGCACCTATTTCTCACAGTCTAAGAGTTGTGACCCAAATGTTATCTTTCTGGAGAAAATACCATCTTTCATTCATTACTATTATTTTATATTAATTGAGAATGTTTAAAGAAGAAAAACTGGAAAACTTAAAGAAAAATTGAAGTGTATAATCCTGCTGGCGAAATACAAAAAAAAAAATTTTAAAGTTTTCAATGCTTTCCTAACTCCTTGAAGCCCCATCCCCACCTCACGCACCCCTCCCCCTTGACTGATACACAGGGGTTCTTACCCACTGAGTCACACCCCCACTTCTTTTTTTTTTAAGATTTAAAAAAAATATTTATTTTTTAGTCGGACACAATACTATTATTTATTTATTTTTATGCCGTGCTGAGGATCAAACCAGGGCCTCTCACTTGCTATGCTAGGTGAGCACTCTACTGCTGAGCCACAACCCCAGCCCATACCTCCAGATCTGTTGTTAAAATATTTTGAGACAGGGTCTTGCTAAATTACTTAGAGCCTCACCAAGATGCTGAGGCTGGCTTTGAATTTGGGATCCTCCTGCCTTAGCCTCTAGAACTGCTGAGATTACTGGTGTGCACTACTGCGCCAGGCTTTACACGAGTTTTAATAGTCACATTATAGTCTTTGAAATGGAATGCTGTGCATTTAATTGTTTTAAAAATTTCTGCTCAGGGCTGGGGATGTGGCTCAAGCCCTGGCGGTAGCGCACTCGCCTGGCATGTGTGCGGCCCGGGTTCGATCCTCAGCACCACATACAAAACAAAGATGTTGTGTCCGCCAAAAACTGAAAAAAAAAAAGTTTCTGCTCTTCTAAATAATATGATAAAGATATGGATACACATACCCAAATATTTTGGGGGAATAAATTTTTAGACGAACATAGTTGTTAAGGACTCAGGTTTTGGAGGTATATTGCTTGGGCTCCAGGTCCTGACTATCAATAACTAAATAAATGAACTTGAGGAAGTTGGCATATTATTCCTCAACATTTCAATTTCCTATATCATTAAAATGGAAATAACCAAATTTGCATAAAAGGGCATTTTGAGGATTAAATGTGCTAATCTTTATCCACTAGTTAACATTATGCCTCACAGGAAGAAAACATTTACTCTCAAACTTTAAAGGATTTTTGTGTTAGCTTTGTCTCTATGACCAAAATACTTGACAAGAACAACTTAGAGGAGGAAACTTATTTTGGCTCACAGTTTCAAGGGCAGCAGACTTCATTGCTCTAGGTTAGAATGAGGCGGAACATCATGGAGGAAGGGCGTGGCAGAAGAAAGTGTTTGGCTCAAGGAAACAAGGAAGCAGAGAGGGTTTGGGGGAGGGGCTAGAGGGAAGATACACCTTTCTAAGGCACACCCAGTGACCCACCTTCTCCAGCCATGCCCCACACCTATAGTAACCATCAAGTCAGTCCATTCAAACTAGGATGAACTGATTAAGTTACAGCTCTCACAATCCAATCATTTTACCTCAGAATATTCCTGAATTAACACAGAAGTTTTTTGGGGACATGTCATATCCAAACCTTAACAACTTTGATACATACTATCACACTGTTCTTCAAAAGCCAACCCTTCCATAAGCTTGGACAAGCTCATTTTATTCAAATTTGTGATGGAACTACATTTTTTTGTTCATTAGTAAAACTGAAATTCCCTCATATTTTTGTCAATATTTTTGACATTTGTGAGTTGCCTACTTATGATCTTATGACCTTTTTTTAAAATCCTAAAGTATTCATCTTGAGGGGCGTAGATTGCTTGTCTAACATGTCTGAACCCCTAGGTTCAACCCACAGCTCCAAAATAAGTAAAATAAATATTCATCTTTTCCTCACTAATATTTAAGATTACTTCAGACCACAGGTAGAGTCACTATCTCTGTGCCTTGATTTTTTTCATCGGTAAGTCAGGGAGAACACCAACAGTTACCTCTGGATAATCACAAGAGTAAAATAAAAAAGGTACAGAAAGCTCACACAGGAAGCGCTGAATGTTAACTAGGTCTTATTATTACTATGATTATTCCCTCCTATGTTACCTTTGTAATACATCACAAATGTATTCCCTAGTTTGTCTTGTAATCTTATCTTGCTTTTCATTTATAAATAAATTTAATGTAGTCAAATCTATCAAGATTCATCATTTCCTACAATACTAGGAGTTTTTTTTTTTTTTTTTAATACTGGGGATTGAATCCAGGGGTGCTCTACCACCGAGCAACAACCCAGTCCTTTTTTAAAAATATTTTTTTACTTGCCAATGCACTTTATTTTATTTATTTATATGCAGTGCTGAGAATTGAACCCAGTGCCTCACACATACTAGGCAAGCACTTTACCACTGAGCCTTTTTAATTTTCATTTTGAGCCAGTGTCAGCTAAGTTGCTGAGGCTGACTCAAACTTGTGATCCTTCTGCCTCAGTCTCCTAAATTGCTGGGATTATAGGCGTGCACCACTGTACACAGGTAGGAATGAACTTCAATGTCAACTATGGACTCTGAGTTGTGATGACCAACCAGTGTAGATGTGTAGGTTTGTCAATTATAACAAATATATCACTCTGGTGGGGGTTGTTGATTGTGGAAGAGGCTGTGCATGTGTAGGGGTTGGGAGGTATATAGGAAAACTCAATATTTTCCTCTCAATTTTGCCAGGAATCTAAAACTCTCTACAAAAAAAAAAAAAAACAGCTTTAAAATTAAAAAAATTAAAGGTGTTACTGTTACATAAAATTCATACTTTGACATTAGTTTTACGCCTTCCTCGTTCTGTGTTCATATAACAATAATCTGAGGTTCTTTCTTTCAAAGAATTTTATGATTTAAAGTTTCAATTCCAACTCAATCAGAATTTATTCAGCAGGAGTTTCATTTTTTAGGATTTTTTTTTTTTTGTACTGGGGATTGAACCTAGGGCTTTGCGCATGCTTGACAAGTGCTCTGTCACTGAGCTATATCCACAGCTCCAGAGGAGTTTCATTTTTTTTTAAATATTTATTTTTTAGGTGTAGATGGATACAACACAATGCCTTTATTTTTATGTGGTGCTGAGGATCGAACCCAGGTCCGGCCCGTGCTAGGCGAGCCCTCTACCACTGAGCCACAATCCCAGCCCCAGGAGTTTCACTTTTAAGCCTCCTTTATTAAATGAAGAGGAGATTCACAGAATGCTGCTTTGATCATTTTCCAAATTCCAATAATTCCATGCCTCCTTTCTCTGGTTATAAAATCCGTTTCATCATCATTCGTAATGTATGCATAATATCTCATTATCTGAAGTTCTCTTTACTTGACCCTATTGAGCTACTTTTTTCTCACAAATATCAATATCCCTTTTCAACATACTTGCTCCAGTCTCATGTTGTTAAAGGTCTGTTCAATTCTGTTGTTTAGTTTTCTCTGACCCTTCTCTAAATTTATGTACTATGGCCAAGTGCTGTGGCACACATCTGTAATCTCAGCGGCTCCTGAGGTGAAGGCAAGAGGATCATGAGTTCAAAGCCAGACTCAGCAACTTAGTGAGGCCCTGTCTCTTAAAAAAGGGCGGGGGGTGCTGAGGGGCTGGGGTTGTGGCTCAGTGGCAGAACACTTACTTGCTTAGCATGTGTGAGGCTTAGTACCACATAAAAATAAATAAATAAATAAAATAAAGGTATTGTGTCCATCTATAACTAAAAATATTTTTTAAAAAGGGCTGGGGATGTGACTCAGTGGTTGAGAGTTCAATCCTGGTACCAAAAAAAAAAAAAAAAGATTCACTCTCATATCCTCTATCTCACAAAATATCCAGGTTGCCTTACCTTCCTTTCAAATAAACCAGTAAGCCTGATCTAATAGGATATTTGTTCCTTCTCTTTATTGTCTTCTGGATGTAATAATAAGTGAGATAAGGTAAGAATTTTAGTGTGTGACTATACCAACAGATGGTAGGTCTTATTTGCTGGCAACAGTACAAAATGGCCCATCTGTTTGCTGTGATCACACAGGGTATTAGCTGTATCAGAATACTGAATACAGAATACTCTCAGTAACACAAGAGTGCCAGGGTTTGAGGAATTAATACTGAACATGGTGTGTAGGGAATTTTAGAGTAAACTGAATTTTAGAGTAAACAGTAAACTGAATATATGTTCTTTAAGCTACAATGGCTTATATCAAACTCAGGAGACAAAAATTCTTTTTTTGGGGGTACCATAGATTAAACCCAGGGACACTTAACCAGTGAGACACATACCTAGCCCTTTTTCAAAAATTTGAGACAGAGTCTTATTAAGTTGCTTGTGGCCTCACTATACTCTATACACTGAAGCTGACTTTGAACTTGCAATCCTCCTGCCTCAGCCTCCCAAGCTGCTGGGAGTACAGGTGTGTGCCACTGCACCCATCAGACATAATGTCCTTAATTACACATAAATAGGCATGGTGGACTACAGGTTTGCTGACTTCTTTGTGTGTATGTGAGGGGTAGGGACTAGGGATTCAACTGAGGGTCACTCTACCACTGACCTACACACTCAGCCCCTTATTTTTTAATTTTGAAATAGGATTTTACTGAGTTGCCCAGGCTGGCTTTGAACTTACAACCTTCTTGCCTCAGCCTCCTGAGCTGGCTGCTAACTTAATGGTTCCAAAGCACAGTTTGCCTAATAGAATGAATATTTTTGTGAAAACTAGAATAAACTGAAAATCAGAAAGAAGAAACAATTTCTTCTCTACACAACATTTTGTCATTCAAAATCTAGAAGGTAGATACATCTGTCAATTATCATGTTTTCTCCATCAGTTTCTTTCCATCCTATCCTCTTTTTGGTGAGCAATAACCAGTCAGGTAACCTGAGAGTCATCATGAACTATTCCTTCTTCCTCTAACCTCACATTCAATCTGCCACTAAGTCTAAAAACTGCACTCCAAAAGATAACTTGAATCCATCTCTTCCTTTTCCTATACCACTAATTTAGTTTAGATCTTCATCATTTCTAATAGCCTTCTTAAATGGTCTCCCTATCTTTAGTTTAGCCAACTTTGCTCCATTTTGCACATATCTATTATGTATAGGTAAAACTAAAACTTCCTAGAATGGTCCTTCCTAACCTAGACCCTACCTATATTTCCCATCTTATCTCCTGCATTGTCCTGTTCTCTTGCTGACCCTCCTACCCATTCTTCCACCATATAATTCATAGATATAGGTCAATATTATTTATACTTTCTTGAAATATCTGTCCTCCAGAGGAATACAACATAATGTGTGTTGGCTCTAAGGTCAGTGATGATGGACCTATTATTTACTAGCTGTGACCACAGGTAGAGTCACTATCTCTGTGCCTTGATTTTTTTCATCGGTAAGTCAGGGAGAACACCAACAGTTACCTCTGGATAATCACAAGAGTAAAATAAAAAAGGTACAGAAAGCTCACACAGGAAGCGCTGAATGTTAACTAGGTCTTATTATTACTATGATTATTCCCTCCTATGTTACATTGTTTCATTACTGAGATGCCCAATTTCTATCTTCCTTTCCCAGTCAATGTGAACTCGAGAAGAGTTAAGATTGTCTTTTTATTCTTTTCCCAGTGCCAGGCTCACCTTGCATTCCTATACTGTTCCCACAGCACCTTATATGATGTTCAACTGTAGTGCAATCATAAAAGCTATCCTTCTAAAAGTTCTGCCAGGATTGGATTTCTGTCCCCCACGTAAATAGGGCCTAGCTATACTTTTCTAGTGCTTCACCCGGTGAATAGTTTTTACTTCTAAGAAAAAACTGACTATTTATCATTCTCTATAAATGACTTCTAAATCTTCCCATAATTACTGAGCCTAGCAGAGATCACAAAGAAATGAGTTTAAAAAAATAGAAAGAGGAACTGGGCATGGTTGGCATAACTATAATCCCAGCTAATTTTAGGAGGCTGAAGCAGGAGGATCGCAAGATTGAGACCAGCCTGGGCAACTTAATGTAAAAAGCTAGGGATGTAGGTCAGTGGTAGAGCACCTCTGGGTTCAAAACCCAGTCTGCAAATATAACTGTCACTGACTCTTAAACAGTATATTCCATTAACAAAACATGATTAAAAACTTAATATCCATGCTTCATGGAATGGGAACTATAAATTTAAAAATGTGAAATAAAAGTGAACCAACTAGGGCTGGGGATGTAGCACGATGGCACAGTGCTTGCCTAGCATGCCTGAGGACCTGGGTTGTGCAATCCCCAGTTCTGCTTAAAAAAGGGGTGGGGGGACGACTGGGGATATGGTTCAGTTGGTAGAGGGCTTACCATGGAATGGTAGGTATAGGTATACACATGTTCTTTAATGTGAGAATTATTGTAAATAGATTACAGTCAAAGGAGTACAATTCAGCACATTATTCTTTACATCAAGAATCACAGTGACTATTTGGAAAGGTGTTATACCTCTTTTCTTGTGTGTGGTGGTGGTGGTAGGGATTGTACCTAGGGTCTCACACATGCCCACAAGCAGTCTACCACTGAGTAACACTCACAATCCCAGTATTATACTTTTTTTTTTTTTTTGGACCAGGAAATGAACTCAGGAGCACTTAACCATTCACCCACATCCTCAACCTTTTTTTTTTGTATTTTATTTAGAGACAGGGTCTCACTAAGTTGCTTAGCACCTCGCTAAGTTGCTAAGGCTGGTCTCAAATTCGCGATCCTCCTGCCTCAGCTTCCTAGGCCACCAGGATTACAGGTCCATGCCATGCGCCTGGCTATACTTTTTTTTGGCGGGTACTGGGGATTGAACTCAGGGGCACTCGACCACTGAGCCACATCCCCAGCCCTATTTTGTATTTTATTTAGAGACAGGGTCTCACTGAATTGCTTAGTGCCTCACTTTTGCTGAAGCTGGCTTTAAACTCACAATCCTCCTGTCTCAGCCTCCCCAGCTGTTAGGATTATAGGCACACCATCTTGCCAGCCCAGCTATACTTTTAATTAAAAAGATATTATTGGTTATACTCTGAAAGCCATGGAATGAAAAGGGGAACACTCTGCATAAGACTAAAATACAATTTACTTGTACATTATAGATACCTTAAGTCAGCATGCTTATTCCTTGAAAGCAACAATCATTTAACACCTTAAGATGACAATATGAATTAAGCTGAATATCTCTGTAATTGCTGACAGTTTTGATACTGGCCCATTTGTTCACTGCTATAACTATTATGCTACTACCAAATATCACAATTCCTCTCATTACTTACTAATTAGTATTTTTTACTTAAAATTTTTTTTAGTTGTCTATGGACCTTTTATTTTATTTATTTATATGTGGTGCTGAGGATTGAACCCAGTGCCTCACACATGCTAGGCTCTGCCACTGAGCCACAACCCCAGTCCCCAGTATTTTTTATTTAAGCAAGTAATTTGAAAAATTTTAAGGCTTTTATTTTCATGTTTATATTATGGATACTAGGTATACTAGCCAGAAAGAAATCTTGTATCTACATTTCAACAGTTATTTAAAACAAAAAGAAGGTACTTACCACAACTTGTAACACCTGTTCATTGTGAAGAGCAGAGGAAGAGGAGGAAGAGGAGGAAGAAGAGGAAGAAGAAGAAGAGGAAGAGGAGGAGGAAGAAGAAGAGGAAGAATAAGAGGGAGAGTCAGCCATCATCTGTGCCAAAGTCTGCATCAATGTTTTTCCAAGAAGAAAAAAAGAGCTAAACATGGCAATTACACCAAAGACCATTCCAAAATTGAACCTGTCAAGACGAAAAAAAAAAATCATATAAATGTACAACTCTTCACAATCTGCGCAGTAACAAATTCACTGCCCAACCACACTTCATAGCTTTAAAATAATGGCTAAATGTTCAACAACTCTGTCTCGTTTTCCTCTCTGAACTTCAAATACTTGACTCTAGCACTGGCGCTAATTTCTTTAAGCAGTTATAATAATTTATAATTTTCTGGTACCCAGAGAGGCTCAGTGTTGATCCCAATTAAAAAAAAATTAGTTGGGTTCCTCTCATGGTATTTGCTCATTTACACAGCTCTATTTTGATCTTATTTGAACATAGTTAGGACAACTCTTGGCATTATATACCATTGTTTTTCACTTATTTTTGTCTGCATTGTATTTTAGCTTTACTTTGAGATAAACTAGTCTAAATATTAATATGGGAAGATTTAATAGTTCATTTTCTTCTACTTTTTTAATAATTAGAAGTTACTGTGCTATAGTGGAGAATAATATGTTCCATTTTCTTTTTTTTCTTTTGGTACCAGGGATTAAACCCAGGGGCACTTAACCACTGAGCCCATCCTAATGTTTTTATTTTATTTATTTGTACCAAATATTGAACCCAGGGGTGTTTAACCACTGAGCTATATTCCCAGGTGCACCACCTGCCTTTTTAAATTTTAGAGACAGAGTCTTGCTGAGTAGCCGAGTTGCTGAGGGCCTCGATAAATTGCTGAGCCTGGCCTAAAACTTGAGATCCTCTTGCCTCAGCCTCCCAAGTTGCTGGGAATTATAGGTGTGTGCTACCACAACCAGCTTATTTTTTAACTTTCTGATAAGTTGTGTTTTTCAAGGAACTGGTTCATTTCATCTAAACTGTCAAATTTATAATTGTAGACTTGTTCCTAATAGTCTCTTTTTTGTCTACAGAATCTGTAGTAACATCCTCTTTTCAATTCTGACTTTGAGTTTGTGTTTTTTTTTTTCTTTTCTTGATTAGTTACTTTTATTAATCCTTTCAAAGAACCAAGATTTGGCTTTGCCAATTTTCTTTATTGTATACTTTCTATTTCACTAATTTCTGCTCTTATTATTTCCTTTGTTCTACTGTATATTTTGATTAGCATTAGTTGCATTTTCTGTTAACTCTTTGATGATTTAATTGTTTATATTTAGCTGTAATCTATCTGGAGCTATATTTTTAACAAAAAGGAATTCAGACCACCCTCCAACCCCACCTTCCCTCAGCTAAGAACCTGTCAGGATCTGGGGTATCCTAGAGATCATTGTAAACCCAAACCATAAAACACAATTTTTCCCCCACATTTTTTATTGGTGCATTATAGTTGTACAACCATGACTGTGTGTGTGTGTGTGTGTGCGCGCGTGTGTGTGTGTGTGTGTACTAGAGATTGAACTCAGGGGCACTCAACCACTAAGCCACATCCCCAGCCCTATTTTATATTTTATTTAGAGACAGGGCCTCACTGAGTTGGTTAGTGCCTCACAGTTGCTGAGGCTGGCTTTGAAGTCTACATCCTCCTTTCTCAGCCTCCTGAGCTGCTGGGGTTACAGGCGTTTGCCACTATGCCCAGCACAACCATGATTTTTAATGTATGTAAAAGCACAATGATACAATCCTATAAAGTTATTAAAAACTAGAAAAATTTTCTACTGCCAATATTCAAAAACTTGGTAGATCAAAAATATGATAGAAATGGCTAATTTAACAAGCTATTCCTCATGAACATGACTAATTTAAATCAAAAAGAGAAGATGAAGAGTACCACTGGTAAAGCATCCTTGCTTTCCGCCGTCCCCAACTATAAAAGGCACGATTGAAAACTGCAGTTTGCCATCTTATGTGAAAAGGGGAGATGCTCAATCCATTGTTTTCCAGCCAGTCTTCATAAGAATGTTTAAAATAGACAGATGACTATAAGAGAAAGAAAAAAATTTCATATCACTTAATTTTGAAGAACAATTTATAACATATAAGAAGTGAAAAAAGTATTTTCTATAAGAAATCACAATGCTGAACTGCTCAAATGTCTTTTAAAGCTTTCTGTTTATTCTTCAGAGTATTAAAGGTTTGAGCTGCTAAAGTTAGGGTCTGGCAAATCATGGCCCACAAACCAAATATGGCTTACAACCTGTATTAGTATAGCCTGTGAACTAAGAATAGTTTTTGCACTTTTTTTGGTACTGGGGATTGAACTCAGGGGCACTCGACCACTGAGCCAAATCCCTAGCCCTATTTTGTATTTTATTTAGAGACAGGGTCTCACTGAGTTGCTTAGCACCTCGCTAAGTTGCTGAGGCTGGTCTCAAACTTGTGATCCTCCTGACTCAGCCTCATGAGCTGCTGGGATTTCAGGTGTGCGCCACTGCACCCAGCCTAGTTTTTGCACTTTTAAGGGATTTTAAAAACCAACAACAAACAGGAATATATGACAGATAGACTGTGTTGCCCACAAAGACTAAAATCTTTTATAGAAGAAGTTTGCTGACCTCTGCTTAGAATGGTATTGTCCAACAGAAATATAATGTGAGCCACAAATGTTAACAACATATAAATTTAAATTATATTTCAAATTTTAAATAATCAAAAAGTGATTAATTAGCATGTATTTTAACCCCAAATATCTGAGATATCATTTCAACATGTAATGAATATAATAAAATATTGAGATACTGGTTTTGACTTTGTTTGAAATCTGGTATTAACTTTAAACTTACAGCACATCTCTATTCAGAATGGCTCCATGTCAAATGCTTAATAGTCACATGTGGTCAATAACTACCATATTGGACAGCACAGGTTTCCTTTTTACCACAGAAAGGAAAGAGGCCTTATGTTACAATCAATTCAACACAAAGGATAGGTTAGTTGGAATCAGTGCTTTCCTTCTTTTTAATTTCCTTTTTGCTACCCTGGGGATTGAATCCGGAGGTCCTTTATCACTTAGGTAGATCTCCAACCCTTTTTTTTATTTTCTGCTTTGAGACAGGCCCAGGCTGTCCTCAAGTATGTGATCTTCCTGCCTTAGCCTCCTAAGTAGCTGCAGTTAGAAACATGTGCTACCATGCTCAGCTATAATCTGTGCTTTCTATCTTCTGAGAAACCCTAAGTTAGGCCAACTTCCAACATGTAAAAGTACAGAACTTACCTAAAGCCATCTTGGTCTCAGTAACATCTCTTAAATTCTCTGGGGGTTGTGGGAATAGTTGCTTATACACAGCTACAATAGTTTTATATTTAGGAGAGTTTGAAGTACTTGACTAATACAGGATTATAGATAACATAAGGCTATGTTATATATCTGACAATTATAATAAGGACTGTAAGTAGATATAACTGATGCTCACCTATATGAGGCTTATTTGTCCTAGAAGGTTATTTCAGCCCTATCACAGTGATTAAAAAGTGACCTGAGTCTGAATATACATATCTAAGGTTTTCTCATCTCAGTCTTTGGGTAGCTTTTAAAACCTCTTAGCTTTCCAAGACTTTAAAAGGAGAGTGACATACCCCTCCAGCAGATATGTACTGCAAAAAATGCTAAAACAAAACAAAAAACAACTAAGGGTGGAATAGCAGATCAAGCTAGAAGCAGAGAAGCTGAAGGTACAAGCTCCTGAAGTTAAGGTCTCTCTATTCCCTAGGCAGACACTCTGAATGAGTCATTAGGTCTTTTGATTGAGAATTAATACTCTTAGGGAGCTGAGGGCTGTTACTGAAATTAAAGAGACATCCTGATCACCTCATACACTTGATGAAAGACTGTATAGATTTGACTTTGTGTGTGTGTGTGTGTGTGTGTACGCGATACTGGGGATTGAACCCCAGGGGTGCTTTACCACTGAGCTACCTCCCCAGTCCTTTTATTTTTTGAGATGGGGTCCTTACACCTTAGGTTGTATAACAAGCCTTTATGTGGATGTACTAACATATTCCTCTCTATAATCTCAGGAGATCCTTCCTATTATTATTCCTATTTAAAGATGAGAAACTGTGGCACAGGTAGTAATTTGCCCAGTCAAAATGGTTAGGAAGTGGCAGCACCCAGCTCTCCTAAGAACTACGTGTATAATCTCTTGCACTTGGCAAGTTTAAAAATAATGACGAACAAGCATCACTTCATTTTATTGTTATATCTAAGACACACAATACTACAGCATTCTATTTAAAACAGTATTCATTACATAAAGGTTTTCCTGTTCATAATTGGTGTTTTTATTAAACCATTGAGAACATATATGATCTTATTCCACATATAGTTACCCTCACACCCCCCCCCCAATATTCGACTGGAAAAGGTTCTTGAAGCACGTGGTCAGAAAATTGTTGCTATTTTTTGCTACCATTCCCAAATAACTCAAATATGGACCATGCACCCAGAGGGTGTGTGGCTAGTGTGAAGAAGGTGCAGGGTGCAAATCAGAATTCGAATAATAGAAAACTGGTTATCTAAATCCTTGATACTTGAGCGTGCTACTTTCAATAATAGTCTGGGGACCAGCTGCATCGGTAGCACTCAGGAACGGATTAGAAATGCATAATCTTAGGAACCTTCCCAGATCTGCTGAATCAGAATCTGCATTTTTAACCGGAACCCCAAGATGACTCTCTGCACCTCTGAGTTTGAAATCAGTGATTTCAATCATGACTTGATTTAGATTCATTCCAATACCATTGTCTCTAGAGGGTCGTAACCCTAAAACAATGAGGGAAAAGAAAGCCTTTCCTACAGATGTTTTATTTTCCTCCCTGGTACACTGCTGCTGTGGGGTCCAGCAAGACCCTCCCCGCATCCCCTAGCCCACCATTGTCGCCTTCCCGGCAAGATCAAAGGCAGCGATGACCGTCACCCGCAATGCGGCAGCGGTAGCTGCGCGGGCCGCCACACCCCTCCCGCAGCCAGCCGTGCTTTATTTACTCCATCGGGCGGATGCGCCACGCAAAAGGCCGCATGTGGGCACCGGCGGTGCGGCTTCTAGCCCCGAAGGCTCTTGGCAGGGGAAGAGAAAGGCCTCGGGCGACACAGAACCTTGCGATCGGGCCCTGGTCACCACCGGCTTGGGTCTTAGGCCCGAGGCCCTCACCTTCAGCACCAAGTCGGTCAGGTAGACGGCAGTCCAGCCGCCCACCACCACCACCACCAGCGACACTGGAATCATGGCGGCAGCGGAGAGAAGATGAGCCCCGGCTTCCTCCTCCCTCAGAGCTGCAGCCGCCGACCGCCAGGCGCCTTACAGCTCCAACATCCGCGCGGGAACCAAGTTACCTGCGGTTCCTTTAAGGCGGTGGAGACGTTTCCCTCCGGATTCTTCCGGTGCCGATACACGGTCGCACTTACGAGTACCGGAAAATGGCGTAGGGGATTATATTCTTGTGACACTAGGCGCCGCTGTCTTGGGAACCCCTTGTTTTCGACTACCAGTCTTGTGGAGATTTGTTAGGTTTTGCCCGTCTCTGCTGTGTGCTCTCCCTTCTCAGTGGTTCTGATCTGGGGTGTGCAGTTCCTTTTAATCTAGTAAGATCTGGGGGATCATCTGAAGTAATTATTATCGCTGCCTCCCCGACCTGGTCATAGGTATCCACATTTAAGTTAATCAGGTTTACTTATTCATTCTTATTACGGAACTGTAATTTACATATGGCGAAATCATACACACAGATCTCAATTGTCCATTTCGATGAGTTTTAATAAATGTGTATTTCCATATACCCTAATCAAAAATGTAGAACTTTTCCATCTCAGGAATTTCCCTCTAGTGTTCCTCAGTTGATTCCCCCAACCTCCCCCCCGCCCCGTTCTGTTTTCTTTTCTTTTAACTTTATGTAAATAGAATCACACCATTTATGTCTGGCATATTTTGCTTGACATATTTTTTGAGATTTATTAATGTTGATTGTTGACTGATTTTCCCCAACCTCTTTGATTATAAAATTTGAGATTGATGCTACTGTTAAAAATTGGAGCTCTGAACATGTGCACATATTTTTATATTGACATATACTTGATTATATACTGAACTACAGCAGTGTTTCTCAACCTCAGCTGCACATTAGGATCACCAGGGGGCTTTAAAATTCTGGATGCTCATTTTGTAACCCAGACCAATTAAATCCAAAGCTCCGTGGGACCCAAGATCTGTGTTTTTTAAACTCAGGGGTCTTTCCACTGTGGAGCCAAGGTTGAGAACCACTGAACTAGACAATCTCTATTAGAGGGAAGGAAAACTAATATTTATTAAGTGTTTTTCTGCAATTTCTTCTATCACTGGGACCCAGGGCCGCACGCATGGTTGCAAGTACTCTACCCAGCCCCACTGCATATATTATATATAAATATTTATTTATTTATATTTTAGTTGTAGGTGGACACAACACGTTTATTTTATTTATTTATATGTGGTGCTGAGAATCGAACCCAGGGCCTCACATGTGCTAGGTGAGTGCTCTACCACTGAGCCACAACCCTAGCCCCCCCACTGCATTCTTTTATTGTTTATCTTTCAAAGTTAATTGTTTCACCTTTTCTGGAAAAGCATTGTTAAATGGTAGCTAGCAAAGAGAAGTGAAATGCATGGCAAAGTCAGGAGTGTTCTTTAAATTACTTTAGGGTCTTCTTAAACTACTTCCAAAGTAGATAAGAAACGGAGGGTTATACTTAATTTGTAGACAATAAACAGAAACAAATGAGCTAATGGGGAAACACAGCAAGAGAAAAGGATTAATGGAATTAACTTGACAGGTTCCGCTGAGGTTGATGTGAAGTTAGGAATTATAACTCTGAGTGTCTCCATCTGTCTGGGAAGGAAGATTCCTTTAGCAGGGCACTAAGGTAACTTCTGACCAGCTATTGACCCTAGCACCCATATTAACATGGGATTGACTTATAAATGAAGCCCCTCTAAATAGGATGGCCACCATGACAGTTCTGGAGAGGACCAACTAAGGTGAAAAACTCAACCACCCCATGTGAAGTAGGAGTTGAACATCTGGTTGGCAAGGGGTACAGTACAGAAGGTGGTCCCAGTTTTCCTGGTAAACATCAAACAGTAATAAATTTGTAGACAGCATTGTCTCCTTGCCGTTCTCTGCTCAGAGATGGCCCACTCTGAAATTTTCAGAGTGCTCCCTGTATGAGACTTACTTAGGTTTTACTTAGGTTTAACTTTCACTTATAATAAAGTTCTCTTGCATGACTTTTGGGGTTTGACTTTAAATTTTATTTCATCAGGGGCTGAGGTTGTGGCTCAGTGGGAGAGCGCTTCCTAGCAAGTGTGAGGCACTGGGTTTGAGCCTCAGCACCAAATAAAATTTAAAAAAAGGTGTTGTGTCCACCTACAAATAAAAAGTAAACATTAAAAAAATTCTTTTGTCGGAATACAAGAATCAAGGTTTGAAGTTTCCAGCTCCTTGCTTTCCTGTGACAGCATCATCAGCAATAATAGTGTTAATACAAAAATATCAAGGTCTTAATACTATCTTTAGGACAAGTATCCCAAATATAAATGCATCCTCAACCCCCTTCAAAGTGAAAATGTAGTATAATATAGGAAAACTGTTTTACAGATAATGCTACTAACTTGCATCATTCTCCCATACTTTTCCTAATGTTTCAGTCACTTAGAAACATGTCTCTCTAGCTTCCATACTTTTTTTGACTCAGCTTTACATCTTGTTGTTTATATGTGTGTATATGTTGTTATAAATGGTTTCAATTTTCTTTTTTAATTTTTTTATTTTATTTATTTCAATTTGTTATATATGATAGCAGAATGCAATTCAATTCATATTACATAAATAGAGCACATTTTTCCATGTTTATTGGTGTACACAAAGTAGAGTTACACCATTTGTGTTTTTATACATGTACTTAGGGTAATGATGTCCATCTCTTTTTTTTTTTTTTTAAAGAGAGAGAGAGAGAGGAGAGAGAGAGAATTTTTTAATATTTATTTTTTTAGTTATCAGCGGACACAACATCTTTCATCTGTATGTGGTGCTGAGGATCGAACCCGGGCCGCACACATGCCAGGCGAGCGCGCTACCTCTTGAGCCACATCCCCAGCCCATGTCCGTCTCATTCTACTGTCAATTTTCTTTGAACATAGCTGAGTATAAATTATAAAAGTTTATGTTTGTCCCCCCCCACTCCACATTTTCACATACAGGTATCCCAAAGGTCTTAGTGCTGTCTTAAACTTTGAGAACTTCTTAGGTAGAAATGATAACACTTAGAAAAACCATCACTTGAAACTCATTTAAATTTTCTTAATTTAAATTTCCTTGAAACTCATTTAAATCTCCATTACTTAATTTTTTTCATAAACACAATACCTTTATTTTACTTATTGATTTACTTTATGTGGTGCTGAGGTTTGAATACAGCGCCTCATGTGTACAGGGCAAGTATTCTACCACTGAGCCACAACCTCACCCCCACCATTTTTTTTGGTACCAGGTATTGAACTCAGGGGCCCTAGACCACTGAGCCACATCCCCAGCCCTTTTTTTTTTTTTTTTTTGAGACAGGGTCTCCCTGAGTTGCTTAGTGCCTGTTGTTGTGAGGCTGGTTTTGAACATGTGATCCTCGTGCCTCAGCCTCCTGAGCTGCTCCATTACTTAATTTTGTGAATTTCAAATAATTTTGAATTTTAATATCCCAACACGATGGCAAATATTGACTGAAACAAAAAATTTAAAATATATTTACTGTTCAAAAATTCACAAAACCAAGTGATCATGAAATTGAAATAATTTTACCTTCAAATGATGTTTTGTGTAAATTCATAGAATTCATACTTCTTGAAGTTATTAAAGCCTAAAATTACACTAAAGCTATCAGTGCAATGTTGTATTTGAATTGACCTCTGTTTGGTATTTTAGACTTTTTTTTTTTAAATGTTGTTGTAAATGGACAGAATGCCTTTATCTTATTTGCTATGTGGTACTAAGGATTGAACCCAGTGTCTAATGCATGCTAGGCAAGTACTCTATCACTGAGCTACAGCCCCAGCCCCAAGACTCTAACATTTAATAATATTTTTCCCTGGGAAGAAAATACTAATTTAAGGATTGAAATGGCTACTCTTGTGTTAGCCAGAAGCTTTGTCTGGACTACTTGCTGAGACCAGTACCAGCTACCTTGTGGCTATCTGATAACCTAAAATATGGAGGAAATGAGTTGATTGTGCTTTTCTGTTCCCAACCTAAAATTTAGTTATTCAACTGAGTTGGTGTTCTCATCAGGAGCCCAGCGGTCAAAACAAAGCACAGAATTGAATCCTGCTGGTTACTGGAGTTTAGCAGTACTGGAAGCCAGCTGGTGGCAGCAGAACAGACATGATAGAAGATGTACAATGGCAACAAAGAACTTCTAAATTTTTCTTAAAAATCATGGTATTTTTTCATAGAAAAAAAATCGTGACTTAATTCACAAATCATTTCAGGTTTCAGTTAAGTAACTACTATTTTAAATAAAGAATACATAGCCAAGATTTTATTCATATCATTTTAATTTAGTAAATAATTTTTAGAGGGGCTCTGAATATGTATTTTGGCAGAATGTTACAAATCAATATCTGGCTGAAGCACAATATCACCATATTATAATAAACTTCTAAGATAAAAGAATATGTGAAATATAAAAATTAAAAATCTTACTATAATTTTAATTGAAAATGTTAGTATTCAATTAGCCACTACATAATGTATTTTTAAAAAATATTTATTTTTTAGTTGTAGTTGGACACATACCTTTATTTCACTTATTTATTTTTATGTGGTGCTGAGGATCGAACCCAGGTCTCAAACATGTAAGGGGATCACTCTACCGCTGAGCCACCATCCCAGCCCTGCATAATGTATTCATATTTCATAACTGTATGCTGTGCATGATCAAAATATATAACTGTTATTTATTGATTTTAAAATGTTAATATTCAAAAAATGTAAGTTTGACATTACATTTAGGAATGTTGATTTCTCATCAGTTGTAAGCTGACAGATTGTTTCTGGGGTCATTAGATTCTACATTTATAACACCGAATTGCACCCATCAGGGTAAGCCAGGATATGCTTTGGAAACAAACCCTAAAATCTAGTGGCTTTAAACAACAAAGATTGCCTAGTGGGGTGGCATATTCCTTTAATGCTGACTACTTCTATTCAGGAGGCTGAGGAAGGAAGATTTTAAGTTTGAGGCCAGCCTTGGCAATTTAGGGAAACTCTATCTCAAGATAAAAAGGCCTGGGGGGGGGGGGCTGGGGATGTAGCTCAAGCGGTAGCACGCTCGC